CTTTTAGCCAAAATATCTGCAAAAAATTTTGTAATCCACATTAAGCAAAGATATGGGGCGGTAGTTCTTAAGCTGTGTCTTCTCAGACTCTACTTTCGGTATAAGTGTAATGTAAGCTTCCCTCCACGACTCTGGCGCCTTTTTCCCTTCCAATATTCCATTACACACTTCTTTTAATGGCTGTATTATCCATTCTTTCAGGGATCTGTAGTATCTTGAAGTTAGTCCATCCGGACCTGGAGATTTACCCAATTGCATATTCTGGATGGCCCCTTCTATCTCTTGCTCCGTTATTTTGTAGTTCAACATTAGCTTATTGAGAGATTTTTTGTAATCCATTTGTTTTCAAAAAACAATCAATGTCCATTTGTTTCTGAGTTTCCTGTGTATATAGTTGTTTAAAATACCTCTGAAAACACTTTCTAATCTCCACTGGATTCTGTATATTTTTCCCTTCTACTTCCAAATTTGTGATAGTGTTAAGTTTTTGTCTTTTTTTCATTTGCCAAGCCAGCAGTTTTCCACATTTGTTTGCCAATTCAAATGTCTTTTGTCTCATCTGTTTAATTTTCCATTCTATTTCCTGGTTCATCATTTTCATATATTGTACTTGGTATAACTTTATCTCTTTCAAAATCTCCTGCGACTTTGGTTTCACTCTCAGTTTCTTCTCTCCTCCTTTATTTTCTCCAATATTTTATCTTTTTTCTGATTTTGGACTCTCTTTTGAATCGCATTCTGTTGTATCAAAAACCCTCTCATAACCGCTTTGCTTGCATCCCAAATTACTCTTTTTTCTACAGTGGTGTTCATATTTATCTCAAAATAGTCTCTCAGAGTTTTTTGGGCCTTCTTAGTCACTTCTTCATTCCTAAACAATATGTCATTCATCCTCCATCTGAAGGAACCAGTTGATGTAAGTTTCAATTCCATCTTTACAGCATTATGGTCGGAGCAAGTTTTCGGACATATTTCCACCTTTCTAGTTTTTGGAGCCAGCCCTCTAGTTACCCAAATTTGGTCAATTCTTGTCCATGTCATTTTGGCCTCAGAGAAGAAGGTTCCCTCTCTTCCCAAAGGGTTTTTAATTCTCCAGATGTCAACTAAGTCCATATTGTCAATCATATCAAAGAAAGTCTTTGGCAATCTGCCATCCTTAGTAACTACCTGTCTCTGTGCTTTATCCATATTTGTAGACACTACACCATTCATATCCCCCATCAAGATCATATTATAATCCATATAGTCCATCAGAGTTTCATGTAGCTTCTTAAAGAATTCCGATTTTCCCTCGTTTGGTGCATAAATACCTAATATCAAAAACTTTTCTCCTTGCGATTGAATTTCAATTGCTACAAATCTTCCTTGATCATCTTTAAAAAGAAATTTCGGTGATAGGCTCTCCTTTGCATAAAGTACTACTCCTCTTTTTTTTACTTTGTCTGATGAAATAAATTCTTGTCCCAATCTTTTATTTACCAGTAATTTCCTATGTAGCCTTATCACATGTGTTTCTTGTAAGATGTCTTCTGAATGTCAGGTAGTTATTTATCGCTTTGACATCTGATGGGAGGGCGTTCCACAGGGTGGGCGCCACTACCGAGAAGGCCCTCAGCCTGGTTCCCTGTAGCTTTGCTTCTCGCAATGAGGGAACCGCCAGAAGGCCCTCGGTGCTGGACCTCAGCGTCCGGGCAGAACGATGGGGGTGGAGACGCTCCTTCAGGTATACTGGGCCGAGGCCGTTTAGGGCTTTAAAGGTCAACACCAGCACATTGAATTGTGCTCGGAAACATACTGGGAGCCAATGTAGGTTTTTCAAGACCGGTGTTATGTGGTCCCGGCGGCCGCCCCCAGTCACCAGTCTAGCTGCCGCATTCTGGATTAGTTGTAGTTTCCGAGTCACCTTCAAAGGTAGCCCCACGTAGAGCGCATTGCAGGAGTCCAAGCAGGAGATAACTAGAGCATGCACCACTCTGGTGAGACAGTCCGTGGGCAGGTAGGGTCTCAGCCTGCGTACCAGGTGGAGTTGGTAGACAGCTGCCCTGGATACAGAATTGACCTGCGCCTCCATGGATAGCTGTCCTCCACACCAGCCCGCCCCCTGTCCCCCCAAAACAGTACTTCTGTCTTGTCAGGATTCAACTTCAATCCATTAGCCGCCATCCATCCTCCAACCGCCTCCAGGCACTCACACAGGACCTTCACTGCCTTCACTGGTTCTGATTTGAACGAGAGGTAGAGCTGGGTATCATCTGCATATTGATGGACACCCAGTACAAACCCCCTGATGATCTCTCCCAGCGGCTTCATATAGATGTTAAAAAGCATGGGGGAGAGGACGGAACCCTGAGGCACCCCACAAGTGAGGGCCCAGGGGTCTGAACACTCATCCCCCCCCCCACTTTCCGAACACGGCCCAGGAGGAAGGAGCGAAACCACTGTATAACAGTGCTCCCAGCTCCCAGCCCCTCTAGACGGTCCAGAAGGATGTTATGGTTGATGGTATCAAAGCCCGCTGAGAGATCCAGCAGAACTAGGAAACAACTCTCACCTTTGTCCCTAGCTCGCCGGAGATCATCAACCAGCGCGACCAAGGCAGTTTCAGTCCCATGATGAGGCCTGAATCCCGATTGGAAGGGATCCAAATGGTCCGCATCCTCCAGGCATGCCTGGAGTTGTTCAGCAACCACGCGCTCAATCACCTTGCCCAAGAATGGAAGATTTGAGACTGGGCGATAGTTGGCCATATTGGCCGGGTCTAAAGATGGTTTTTTAAGAAGCGGTTTAATGACCACCTCTTTCAGCGGATCTGGGAATGTTCCCTCACAGAGTGAAGCATTCACCACCCCGCAGAGCCCATCGCCCAGCCCTTCCCGGCTTGCTTTTATTAGCCAGGATGGGCAAGGATCAAGGAGACAGGTGGTTGGTTTCATGCGTCCAAGCAGCCTGTCCACATCCTCGGGGGTAACGGATTGAAATTGATTCCATGCAACTTGACCAGACACAGCTCTAGCACTCTCCCGCCCCAGCCCTGCTCCCACGGTGGTGTCTAGCTCCTTCTGAATATGAGTGATTTTATCTGCAAAAAACTTTGCAAAATCGTTGCAGGAGATCTTGGGGTCTTTATAGCTGTCCCATACAAGGATCAAACCTGCAATCTTGGCATAATCATCACTATGCTCTAGTCAACTGAGCTATCCAAGGAATAATGCTATATAGTAGAGGCAATGAACATGGAGCCTCCCAGGCAGTGCCAGATTTATGGATAAGCTAAACAAGCTATAGCTTCGGGGCCCACTCTCTTGGGGGCCTCAAAAAAAAATTAAAGGGGAAAAAAACTGGATGCACATTTCCAAAATATAAGTTAAAAAAACAAATAAAATAAATCCTACATACATCCACAGTGTTTTGTGTTGCATAGGCTCCTATTTGTTACGTGCAAACGGCTTTAGATACCTATTAGGTCCATAAATTACCATATAGCATATATTCAACACGAAAAACAGCGAAAATTTGTTGTTGACAAAGGACAGCTGAACATATAAAGGGCCCCATTACCTTCAGTAGCTTAGGGCCTCATTAAACCTAAATCCGGCTCTGCTCCTAGGTGTTGTTCGACTACGGCTCCAAAAATGCTGGACCTTCGGCCATCCTAGCTGGGATTGATGGGAGTTTGAGTCCAGAAACATGTGCCCTTGCAAAACTGAGTAAGCCTTGCCACCATACCCTCATCTTATACAGAGCCTTTATTACTGAGTGGTTTGAGTGGCTTTGCATCCTAGTTTCTGCCTTCTTAGGAAGTGATAAACCATGCTAATTTTTTAAAAATGAAACAAAAACCAGTTCATGTTTCTAAGAAGCTTCTTCATTTTAAATGGAATCGTCACATGCACAGCAACTTCCAGAGGAAAGGGAAAAGCAATGGAAAATTGTTTGCTTATAGCACCATCTTGTGGCTGATTGTTTAAAAGACTGTCTAAGGCATTCTTGTAAAAGTCCTCATCTCTGGCTAAAGTACAAAAACACCATCAGAAACACATGCACTTGGGTGACCAGTGTGGGAACAAGATGCTGGCTGAGATGCTGGATGCTGGTCTCATCCACTAAGGCTCTCCTTACGTTCTTGCTCCTGGGACACCTCAATGTCTGCTGTTGATCATAGGAAGCTGCCTTCAACTGAGTCAGACTATGCCTCCCATCCAATCCAATACTGCCTTTTCTGACTGGCAGTAATCTCTCTGGAATCTTTAGTAATCATCTTTTCCCATCTCCACTGAGATCCTTTTGAACTGGCTTGAACTTGGCGCACTTCTGCATGCAGAGTCCATGCTCCTATGGCCCCTGCATTGCTCAACTAATACACGACTTGACAACCAGTATTTGGGTAATTTGACTGTGGCCCTTGGCTGGGGCTGATGGGAGCTGTTTTAGGGGAAGCTGCCCTAAAATGGTGTGGAACCAGTTTATCCAAAGGACTGTCTTCTCTCATATGAACTTGCCCATTTACTGAGTCCATCATTAGAGGCTTGGCTCCATATATCCTCTCCTATGGGTGGGAGGCTGGTAGTTACATTAAGGTTACCAGATTTTTTTCCATGAATCCGGGGACACTTTTCAACTTCAATGGATTTTGTCCAGGGACTGATTTGTGAATCCGGGGACTGTCCCTGGGAAACGGGGACATCTGGTAACATTAAGTTACATGAGCAGGGCCTTTTCGACCATGACCCACTCTGGCCCCCAGAATTTGGTTAACTTTACTCCTGTTTCCTTTTAGCTTTCAAGACTCAAACTTATCTTTTCTCTTGCACTTGTCCTCCTTGAGGGATCCTGCTGAATTATTGTTTTGCTTTTTCCTTTACTTTTGGTGCTGGGTTGTGTTATAATCTTTTTTAATTCTTTGCATTGTGTGTGTGTGTGTTGTGATTTTATATAAGCTGTTGTGAGCACTGAAAAAATGGAGAGGTCAAGGATATGAATACAAAACACACATACAAAAGTTGGTCAAATAGTGGTGAGTGGTTTATTTGCCCTTTTCCTTCTTGCTCGTTTGTTTCTCAACATCATCTTGGACGGATGATGAAGAATGGCTATCACTGCTTTCATCACTCTCATCATCACTGTCTTCTTCAGAATCATCTCCTTTGGGGCTTCTTCGTAATGCATTAACACATGGGCTGAAATGCCACACACACAAAAAAAAGACCTTCAATGAGGATATTGTGCATTTCCTGGCAGATTCCGGATACACTTAATGGTGGGAAGGGTAGTAAACCAGGGCTGCAGCCATACTGACCTCTTCAATGTTATTTCCCCGTATCAGAACGATATTAGATATGTCGTTCTAAAATGTCACTTGCTATTTAACATTTTTATCATGCCTCCCTCCCGCCCGGTCAAATGTAAGTAATACCCAGCCACACCATTTTCCAAAATGCTGTTTCTTTCCCTGCTGCTGGTCACTGGTTGCTCTGTTACTCTCCCTGGGGGGGGACATGTGAGCAGTGTTTCACCAATGTAGCAGCATAAAACGATTAAAAATTAAGCTATAAAAAGACAAGGTAATAACACATTATTAACGTAAAAAGTAGGAAGTCATGTGCCCATTTATGTTATCAAAACCATTCCTTAACTCTTTCTTAACATTAAAAACCATGAGTATGGATCTGCCCCAGGTCTTATACCAGGTAAGGCTATTTTTCAGTTTCAGCACTGACTGGCGATAACTCGACAGGGCTCAGGCAGGCATCTTTCCCTTCCCTTCCTATCTGATCTTTTAGCAGGGTGATATCAGGGATCAAACCTGGGACGTTATGCATTCATGGTAGCAAGTGAAGGGAAGGATCCCTGCCTGAGACCTGAGCTACTGCAGGTCAGAGTAGAAGCACTGAATTTAAGAACCAGTAATCTCACTCAAAGCAAGAGAAATTCAGATGATTGCAACAATTATAGGAAGGTGTGAGAGAGGGGTTTTGCTGCTTCCTTCCACCCTATTTGCTCTGTCTGCTTCCTTCCAGAGTTTATTTGCTCTGTCCGCTTTTCTCCACCCCCCAGCTCAGTTCCAGTAAACCAGGAGTGGGTAACATGTGGACTTCCAGATGTTGTACATCAACCCCCCCCATCAACCCCAGTTAGCATGGCCAATGGTCAGGGATGCTGGAGTCCAACAGCCTCTGAAAGGCTGCAAGTCCCCCAACGCTGCAATAAGCCCTATCCCCCTAAATCCTCTCCTTTATATGCGAACAAGGAAGGCACGCCAATCCATCATGTCCAATTTAGCTTTCAAAAAGCCAAATGCAGCAGCAACAGGTGAGAAATTCTTTACTTGTGCAATGCACCTGCAGATGAAAGACCCACATACAGCTTTGGTAATTTCCCAATATATGCTACACTCTTGCAGATGTGTTGAAACAACTCACTGGAACCCTATGCCAAAAGAGGTGCCATCTTGAAACTAGAAAAGATAATGCTTCCTTACAGTTTTGCTTCTTTTGATGTATTCAAACATTTCAAAGAGCGTGTGCTAGAAATTAAAATGGTTCAACATCTAGTTAATTATGGCCTTTTTTGCTTGCTTGCTTGCTTGCTTGCTTGCTTGCTTCTTTTTAAAAAAGGCCTTTTTAAGCAACATCCAATAATATTCCTAGCAATAGCAACAGTCCATCCACTCCACACAGCCCTTCCTGGGCAAATCACTTCAGCATTGATATGAATCCCATCTCTCACACATTCATTTCCCAGGGCTTATCTTAGCAGACCATTCTTTGCTAATTCTAGGCTCTTGTTTGGAGATGTGCCAGTGGCTCTGCTTGGCTATCCGCAGTTTCAGCATCGGGTGCTGAGAGCAGAGGAAATTGTAAATGCAAAGATTCTATGCAGGAGGTCCATGTGTGGAAACTTTCAACAAATAACCATCTGGCGAGCGGAGAGGAATAATGCCTGAGTGTGTGTGGTTCCATATGCACAGGCAGGGCAATTTATTTTTCATGGTAAATAATTTGGTAGCTGAGCAACTTTGTGCTAAAAGTTTGTGTGGGAACATAGGGAAGTTACTTTGGCCTGCCTATTGTCTACCCTGATGGACAGTGGCCACACCCATACCATATGTTTAAAGCACATTCAGCAATCATATAAAGCAAATGGTTGCCCACTCCCCCCTTCAAATTCTGGAAATTGTATTTCGTCCAGGTTGCTAGGAATTGTAGCCCTGTGAGGAAATTCCACAGGGCAGGGCCTGCCACACTAAAGTGAAGGCCAATCTAATCTCAGGGGCATGGGGAAGCTCCAGAAATGCCCCATCAGGAGGTCACAGTGATCAAGGTGGATCTTCTAGGTATGGGGTGGAAATGTGTCCTCTCATCTCCTGCTTCCTGGTCCCTGTAATGGAGATGTCAGAGACTGTACGTGGGGCCTTTTGGATGTGCTCTGCCGCTGAGTTGGAGATGGAGGGACTCTATCTTAGAGACACCCACTTGCAAGTGTGGGGGGGGGGGGCCCAACATCCCACGTGTGACGACATCATGTCAGGACATCACGCTAGCTTGGAGGAGCCAGGAATGTGGTGGCTTCAATGGTTGGTGGCTGCTGCTGCTGCTGCTACTGCCACCAGGAGAAGAAGGAGGATGACCCAGCCACTAAGGCCACATTGCCATTGTGTTCCTGGCTCCTCCAACCTGACATGACCTTTTTTATTTAACATGGGGGGGGGTCCCTCACAAGCAAATGGGTTTGGCCCCTAGGAGTCGGCGCCTCTGCTCCCTCCACTCCACTGCATTTTACTGTGAGAGTGCTGAAGTGTCCCATAATGCAGCTGTGCTTTTACACAGGAGGAAGTATCTCTTACCTCCTCTCCACAATAAAACAGCAACATGGAAGACACGCAAGAAGGATCAGTCCTCCTATCCCGGCACCAAGCATCCGCAGGATCTGTTGAGGGCCTGTTACAGTTCAATCAACATCAGCTTGGCTTGTAAGTGTCCTACAACCTAGTAATGAGTCAGCTTTGCTTCATGGCCGCATCTGCAATAAATAATCTCCAAAGCACGTGGATGTCTATAGTACACTAGGAGCTGTGCTCCTGTTTGCTCCACCACCACCCCTGCCATTTTTCCCACATTAACCCCCTGGAGCTTCCACTTCCCACCCCATGCAACTACTTAAGCTCAACCTGATTTCTGAAGCCACTTCCCTTTTCTACTCTGTAGCTCTGCTTTATACCCCTTTGTACATGCCTTCACTCCCATGCCTCCTTTCCCCTCCTTTTGTGCAACCCCTCTTGCACATAAACCACTCCATGGTGACGTCTTACATCTCCTCCTCCTACATACTGTAACTACTACACACTTTGTTCACCTTCTACCCAAGTTATGAAGCATATCCTGCAAGTGTCCTGGGACACACACACCCTTTTTTCAAATCACTACAGAATGGTGATGTTTTGGGTGCCATGATCTTTCCCAACTCCTTTCTTGTTGCAGTCAAGTCTCTGCAGCTAGAAAGCTAGCACAGGAGTGAGATAGAATCTCTACCTCTCTGTTTTGTTTTTAATGTGGGTTAGATTTAAAACAAATATATGTTCCTTCACAGGCAGTCTGACATGGTAATGTCCACACTCCTGCCTCTGGACTTCTACCACTTCATTCCGCTGCACCTGTATAGAGGATGTTAAGTTTTGTACTGCAGTTACATGGTTAGTGGGAAAAGTTTATTTCTGGGATGCAACCCTGAGTTCAAACTGCTCTGATGTAAACCAACACTCCTGTGCTATCACAGAAACATAGGAGAACCATTGTGGTGTAACAGCTAAAGTGCTCTCATTCCTATCAGCCCCCAAATGCCTGGCCTGGGGTCAAAACTGATGGGAGTTAGAGCTATTGGAGGGCAGCAGGCCAGGGGAAGCTGTGATAAGGCATTCATTTTAAATTGAGTGTTAGATAGGGAAGTGTCTTGTGGAGAGTATATCCCTATAGGAGGGGAATGAACAATTACTTTACAGATAATATCCCTTTAAAAAATTAGTTTTATTAGAGATTTTTTTGTGTTGCAACACAAGCAAACAAATAATTGGGTGAAAGTACATTCTATTGCACAGCATTCATGCAGGGTATCGTGTCAGCATCATGTGGGTAGGTCTTTTTATTATTATTATTAATATGTCCTTTTATGCCAGTATTTTTCATTATTACATTTTTTCAGAGGCGGTCAAGGTGGCATAGGAGCCAACTCCCAGGGGCCGTGGGTGCTCCAGCCCCTGCAATAAAATATTTCAGGGGCTGGTCCACTGGCAAAGGAAGAGGAGTGCGGGGGGAGTGCACTGCCCCCGGCAGCATGATCCCAGTAGGGAGCCATCGCAGCTGCCCGCCCCCCTGCACTGGGTGCCATGCCCCTGAAGTGTGCCCCACCCCCAGGATGTGCACCACGCCTCTTCGGGCAGTGTGCCACGCCCCCACGATGCATGCCATGCCTCTGTGGATGGCGCGCCATGTCCCCAGGATGCGCAGCCCGCCCCTGCAGGTGACGCGCCCCACCCGTGACGCATGCCAGCCCCACCCCTGCCTGCTCTCCACCCCCTGGTGCTGGAGCATGAAGCTCCGCCCCTGGGCTGGTCTCCTGCAAAGTTGATGGGCATTGCCATTCAAATGGTGTGTGTGCACCGTGTCATGTGATCGATTATGCAGGGTGGTGCTTGCCTGGGCCCCCACAATATTTTATTCAAGTTGGCAGCCCTGCAAGGTGGCATAAACACCCAGTTGGCCCTCATAACTACCCTGTGAGGTATGTTGGGGTAGTAGGGTTAGGGTTAGGATTTAGGGTTTGGGTTAGGGTTAGGGTTAGGGTTAGGGTTAGGGTTTAGGGTTAGGGGTTAGGGTTAGGGTTAGGGTTAGCGTTTAGGATTAGGGTTAGGGTTAGGGGTTAGGGTTAGGGTTAGGGGTTAGGGTTAGGGTTAGGGGTTATGGTTAGGGTTAGGGGTTATGGTTAGGGTTAGAGCCTAGCAACATTTTGAGGCCACCCAGTTGGGGAAGGTTGCCTTATCACAATAGGAATTTAAACATTTTGGGGTGCACTCCTGGCTGAATCTTTTTCATTGGACACACAAGTGACTACATTGGCTACGACTGCATATGGCTGTTAAGGAATATAGGAAGCTGCCTTTGTACTGAATTGGTCCATCTAGCTCAGTATTGTCTGCACTGACTGGCAGAGGCACTCCAGGGAATCTTTCCCAGCCTTACATGGATATCAAACCAGGGACATCCTGTGTGCAAAGCAGATGTCCTACACTGAGCTGCAGCCCTTCCTGGCAGCTCTGGATTGGGTTTGTTTAACTGCAGAAGTCCAGGCATCTGTAACCTCCAGAATGTATCACAGCATTGCATTATTTGTGGGGCATCCATTAAAGCTGAGCTGGAGAAGGCTGCTGCCAGGTTGTTCAAGGAGGTACCTCATTCACAGGGCAAAACATCTGTGCTGAAGGAGTTGCAGAGGCTGCAAATATGATACCGGGCCAAGTTTAAGGTCTTTCTATGGAACAACTTGAAGACCAGGTTATCTCTGGGAATGCTTTACATTCTGCACCTCTGCTGAGATATTTCAATGCTGTTAGCATTGCCATATGCTCCTGAGGTTCATCTTATGATCACTTTTTATTCCAGCAGGCCTTTTAACAGTCAGATCTGATTTTATAGTTTTAAACTGGTTTTATATATTTATTGCACTGTTGAGTTTGACGTATGCTACTTAGAGACAATTGTGCTTAAGTGGTATATAATTTGTCTGAGTAAAAATAAATTAAATAGAATAAAGCAAGAGCCTTCTCTTTGGAATGCAATTCCAATAAGCACCCACTGTTTAGACACCTGCTTAACATGCACCTGTTTACTCAGGCTTCCCTTGGGCGATCAAGCTATGTTGATGCATTAATCTGCTCTACTGATTTGCAACAAGTTTGGGACTTGCTTTATGAATGCAATTTTATTTCATACAAAGTATCAGAGTGGTTTGCAACAGTTATACGTAAAAACGTACAATAAAAACCACATTAAAATTCTGAAATCAGAAATCAGCTAGCTATTATGGAGAGATGCAGCCTTAATTGCCTGCATAAGCCTATTGGAATAGGAAAGTTTTCAGCAGGCATTTAAAACTGGAAACAGAAGGTGCCTGACGAATCTCTGTTGGCAGACTATTCCATAATGCTGGACCAATGACACTCAGGGCTTTGGTCTTGTTGACAAATAAGCCTTGCCAACTTGGAGAAGCACCACCAACATGCCTGCAGATGATCTCAGTGATTGTCCTGGGATAGAAAGGTTCATGTGTTCCCTAAGGTCCCTAAAATTTTCAGTGCTTTGTGAATTACCATATATACTCGAGTATAAGCCAACTCGAATATAAGCCGATGCACCCAATTTTACCACAAAAAACTGGGAAAACTTGAGTCAATAAGTTCACCACACTACAAACCTGATGGTGGCGGCAGCGGCAAAGGAAGAACAAGCAGCCCAAAAGGGCTGCTTTCGGGCTGCTTGTTCCTCCTCTGCCACCGCCAACAGCGCCAAAGGTGGAGGAGGAGGAAGGAGCAGCCTGAAAGGACCCTCACTTGAGTATAAGCCGATGGGGGCTTTTTCAGCATAAAAAATGTGCTGAAAAAGTCGGCTTATACTTGAGTATGTACGGTAAAACTGTATATACTTGAATCTGTTTTGGAAGCAGATGGACAGCCAACAATGGTCTCACATGTTGGCCACATTCTCCCATCAGCAGTCTGGCTGTCACATTCTGCACTGACTGTAGCTCCCTAATCAGGCCCAAAGGCAGCCCCACATAGTGTGCACTGCAGTAATCCAGCCTTGAGGTTACCAATGCCTGGACTACAATGGTAAGGCTATCCCTGTATAGGACATAGCTGTCATCCTTCCCTTTTTTTGTGGGAAATTCCCTTATTCCAGCGCTGTTTCCCGCTGCTTCCCGCTGTTATCCCAGATTGTTAGATATCCCGTAGACTGTCCCCGGGACAAGTGAGGCTGCTGTTCCCTTATTTTCGAGGCTGCTGATCCCTTATTTCCAATCTGAAAGTTGACAACTATGGTACAGGAATGGCTGTATTGTTGATTTTATGCAGTTCACTGCCATAATATTTTTCCCTATAATGTTGCTGGCATATAAACATTGCAAATAAGTAAAATAAAAATTCCTCCCTTTTAAGTTACAAAAGCAGTTTGTCATGTGGCATCAGAAGAAGAGAGGCCGCCTGTCTGAGAAAACAAACAAACTCAAAGACTCCAAACATGTGAAACTAGCTGCAGAGGGGTTTTTGTTGGCTCCTGATCTACATTTGTTGTAAGTATAACTGTGATGGAAATCCTGCTGGATCAGCCCTAAGGTCCACCTAGCCTGGCAGCCTTCTTTCCAAGAGGCCACCCAGAAGCCTCCAGGAAGACCACATGAAAGCAACAGGCCTTGCCTCCCACTGTTCTCAAAACTGGCAGGGGAAAATAGCAAACATGTTCAGTGAAGTGAAGAATCAGACGATTGAACAGGGCAATAAAATTGCCAATTACCCATTGCAGGAGGTAACCCAATAATTTGTGAGATGCTGGAGTCTAAGAGGCCTGTGAAGGGTTTCTGTTTTGTCAACAGATTGTTAGAATGCACACAGCGTGTGCTTTGTGGACTATAAGCACGTGTTGTTTATTGACATATGCTGCACACCCTGAAGCATTCAAGTACCAGAATCGCTCTACAAACAGACAAACTGGATGGAAAATAAACTCTACAGGAGAAGCACATTGAATTTTGAAGAAACATTTTAAGATGCACTCCAAAACACAATGGGAGCCACAATATCTGTGTGCACTGATGTAAAATGAAACAGATCACTACTCTGTGAAGTCAAAGGGTGCAGGGCCTGTCGCCTTCTAGATGTTGTTAGGGATGATGGAATGAGAGAATTGTAAGCCCAGCAACAACTGAAGTGGTACAGCACAACACATAACCTGGTCTAGTCCAACACTGTTTGCTCTGACTGGTATGACTTCTCAGACAGAAATACTTCCCAGATCGGCTAACTGAGATTTTTACTTAACTGGCAAGGAGAGAGATATAACCTGGGACCTACTGTGTGAAAATCCTATGTTCCGAGCTATGGCCCCTCATGCTCATTTGAGAGCTTCCTGGTGCATCATGTAAGTCCTCAACACAGACCTGCAAGCAGTGGAGGCTAGTCCATTAAGCAGGGCAAGTGGGGAACTGCCCCATGAAGCTGAGCTGCTCTCAGCCATCCCCCACCTGCCTGCCTCCTTGATTACAACCAATCCAGGGGCTGGCAATGCATTATCATCTTCCTCCCCACTAGTTTCAGTGTTATCCCTTGAATGGAGGAAGGTGGGGTGGGGGAATCAGAGCAAGTTGGCTCTGCCTGTCATTGGCTCTGACTTCACCTACTGCTGGCTTCTGCCCCAACTAATCCCAAGGGTCACCAGAAGCCACTACTGCTTACAAACCTGACCCTGTATCTATACTACTCTGCTGTGCCCCCTGGGAAAAGCAGCAACAAGGTCTTGGCTGAAGGTGGCAGTGTAGGCATAAGAAACTACGTGTGTCCAGCTTTGCAGAACAAGTGAAAGAGCCCTGGAGGCAGAATGCCACTTACGGTCTTTGAGGGGAGTATAGCAGTCCAACTGAACATGCTTTTTAGACGAGAAGCAGCACTTGTGTTCCAGACACAACGACTTGTTGCTCTTTTCCCCAGCTTGGCAAGGCACCACTGCCTGATTTGTTTTGGGTCGACACGCTTTGGGAAATGAAGCAGAAATGCAAGATTTCAGTTCCAAGCCCAGTTTAAACATGTACACACTGAGGCACGAGGCAAAGTTATTCCAGACCGCTGCTTCCATTTAGGGTGGCCATGTGTTCCACTTTAAAGAGAACAGTCCTTTAGGTCTCTCCACTCCAAGTCTGGTTTAAAGACAAAAGACCCTAAGAAGAGAGAGCAAGAGGGTTCTTAGAGTCTCCCGTCAACAGTGAGTGACAACATCTGGGCAGGTGACTGAGCAGGCATGAAGTTTCACCTGGTCACCATCTTCCCCAATTACAGGGTATCCAAGAGCATTCTATACAGAGCAGACCTATTGAAATGAGCGGACCTAAATTAGCCATGTGCATTCATTTCAGTGGGTCCAACATTAGAATTACTATGGCTTGAATCCATGCAGGGCCATCTTTAGGAGATGCGACGCCGGGGTGCAAATATCTGCCCAGCGCCCCCCAATTACCACGGATAGTGTTGGGGTGGCCATAGCTGTGCACTGCCAGCCATCGGGGGGGGGGGCAACTCTCCCCCATGCCGCTGTGGAAGAGCGATCCCCGCAGAGGCTTGGGAGTGAAGTTGCACCCCTCCCTAGCCTCCTGAGGAGGAGAGCGATCCCCACAGAGACCTGGGAGGCTAGCTGTGTGCCCACCAGCCATATGATTGGTAGGGCACAGCTTCCATCCTAAGCCTCTGTGGGGATCGTTCTCCTTCCGAGGAGGCTTGGGAGGGAAGATGCACACCCGCCAGCCTTATGGTTGGTGGGGCGCAGATGGTGGGCGTTCAGGGAAAGGGGAGGTGACCGGCAAAGCCACGCAGCTCCTCCACTTGCTGGGGTGCCCCTGAGAGGCCAGCGCCCTGGCATGACGCACCACTAAGCCCTATGGGAAAGATGGCTCTGAATCCATGTTTGTATCTATATCAGGAGTGAAGAACCTTTCACACACACCCCAGACGTTGCTGGACTACAACTTTGAGCAGCCTAGACTATGCTGGGTGGGACTAATGGGATATATAGTTTAGCAACATCCAGAGGGCTAAAGGTTTATCAGCCCTGTTCTATGCATACAAATTAACTCAGTGTCCTCTTTCTATGAAACATGTTTCCTTTTTCCGGGGGGGGGGGGGATATGCAAATAGCTGATATTATGTTTTATTGGAAATTTGCTGAGAGTTCCTTCTCACTTTTGCATCAACTCCATGCAAGGGAGAAAAGGAACAGTAGCAGGGGGGGGGAAGCACAGAAAGACACACAGGGGGTCAAGCATTAACGTGGTGGTTTTGAAAGTATGTTTTTGATTGAGCCCTTTGCTTTGGAGTATCTGAATAAGATTCAGGGGGGCCTTTTTCCTTTGAAGGTTGGAACGAACTGGGCAATCTCCACACACTAATGAGCTGATTATTTCCAAGTGCCACTTTGAAGTCTGCTTCTCCTTTTGGTGGAAACAGCAACACACCGCCAAAAAGCAAAAAAGCCATGCAGCAAGATCTGTGCAAGGCCCTCCTTTCATTTATTTAAACAATTTATATACCACTTAACTACAATAGTCTCTAAGCGGTTTGCAAAGATACTTAATGGGGCTTTGCAATTGCTTCGTTTGTAAAAACCAGCCCCTGCAATGCACAGCAAACTGATTCTGAAATCCACTAGTAGGAGAAAAAGAGGGAACCGAAAGCAGGGTCACCCTTCTCCTTCAACGTCTTCAGCATCCAGCCACTGCAGCAAGTGTTGCTGACCTTTCAGGAGTCTGTGGGCACATTTGTAAGCAAAGAGAAATGGTCATGGGCACGACACGCGTGCAGCTGCTCCCCTACCCAGCCCCCAGCTGTTACTCACTTAAAATTGCCTCCTTGCCACAATCGAACTGGGGTGGGTGAAAAGCATTCCATTGGCTAAAGAGGGATTGTTGCAAGATTCATTTTAGAGGGGGGATGGGGCCCTGCGGGCACCAGGGAAGTCTGCTGTGGACACCTGTGAGCACATGTGCAGCATGCTGGGGATCCATGCACCACAGCTCAGCAGGAGGAGGAGCAAGGCTTGCCTTGTGCTCCATTGGCCTGTTTGGCCCAACCCCTATGCTCTTGAAGTATGGCAAGAATGGGAGAGAAAGGAAAACCCTGCTTTATTGGCCTGCCCAGCACTGGATTTATGGATTGTATACAAGTTCTACTCAGTGTAAAACCATCAAACATAAAGAGACTAAGTCCTTTAATTTCAATGGGTATACTCTGAGCAGGACCACCACTGGATAACTATGTACATGTCCATGAATATCCACACGTATCTCTAAGTCCTTTTGATTGTTCCACTACCCTCAGGTGGCAGCAGCCTAGGAAAGCTTATTCTCTATGGCAGCCCTTAAGTTGTGGAATCCCCCCAGAAGTGTGTCTGGATTCTTCACTTTGAAGCTTTTAGTGAATGCTAAAGATGCCCCCTTTTACCCTGACATTTGACACTTGAGATGTCTGTTTTTAAGATGGTCCCCTCTTCTCTCTTTGCAAGTTGAAAACAAACTGTTTTTATGTTGTGTTTTCAATTGTTGTAACATTCTCTGGGATCTTAGGGCGAAGGGTGGGTAACAAATAACAACAGCAGCTACTGCTGCCTTGACTTTTTTCTTTTGCTGTCAATGCATTGTTGGGTTACTAGATACAGCACTATGCAAACATTTGATACCTACCATTAATTCTGCATTGGGAGCATCTCAACCCATCCAAAGAACTGCTCAAACTAGTCCTGTGCATCAGGAGGGCTTTGAGGGCTTCTCAAATAAGACGACCCTCGTGGTCCCTTCCAACTCTACAATTCTATTATTCTAAGATGCTTTCAAACCAGTTTGGGTGATCCATGTGCAGCTGCAACATGAGTGGAAACGGAGGGTTCATTCCTTTGGGCAACACCTTTTTATTTCCTTTTCCAAACATGAAACGTGGCACTCTGCACAGAACAACACCCCTCAATATAGCTCAACAAAGAGACCTTTCACTGAAGGACTACAGTAACAAACATTTCTAATCCTCTCAAGGACTTGAAGAGGGGGCAATGAAAAATGATGCTACAACAGCACTTACTCACTGGGTTGAAAAAGGTCACCAGCTGTTCAGATACGATCTGTACTTTCGTCCTTGGCTCAGGGGGAGCAACTTCAGTTTCATTTAAATCATCCAAGGTCGGAAATGCAGAACCTGAAAAACACAGAACGATTCAAACTCCTGCACGGCAATTCAAGGGGAAAACTCATTTAAGTACCATAATACAGTTTCCCCACTTAAACTCTCTCCCCCCCGCCCCAATCAAAACACTTTCCCCCTCTCAGCCTCTGATCCCCTGTTCTTCAGGTAACTGATGGACTGAGTACTATGCCCTCTGTCTTAGTGGTGGTTGGACAATATCAGGTCAGTTCAAAATAAAATCTCACTCACCCATGCTTTGTAAGTATATGAAGGAGCCAATCTGGCACATACAGTGGTACCTTGGTTGTCAAACTTAATCCGTTCCGGGAGTCCGTTCGACTCCCAGAACTGTTCGAAAACCAAGGTGTGGCTTCCGATTGGCTGCAGGAGCTTCCTGCACTCAAGCGGAAGCCACATCAAATGTTCAGCTTCCAAGAAACGTCTGCAAACCAGAACACTACTTCTGGGTTTGTGGCATTCGGGAGCCAATTTGTTTGGGAGCCAAGCAGTTTGACAACCAAGGTACCACTGTATTGCCAAGTCCTGAATAGGTTAGCTGGGAAAAATCAACCTGACCCACCTATGTCTTCCCAGATACTCAGTGCTCCACAAAGGTAGCACTGGTTTGGGGAGGGTAATTGCTGCTATCCCATGAGGATCAGAGACCATCTGGTGCACTCCTAGAGATGTGTGGAAGCTGATGGATTCCTGAATGCTGCAAGAGATTTTCCGGAAGGCAATTCTGCCAAGGTCCTAGTCTCCCTGTGGAATGGTGAGGCATGGCAGGCCATAGACACAACTGCACCCAAATGTCCTCTCTGGTGCTGCGGAAGTTAGGCAACCACCCGATTTACTGAGGAGTTCCAGGCAGCTGGAGACAATTGCAGTACAAGGCGTATAAGTTTTGCTCTGAAGGAGACTGCACACATGGAAGAGCACATAATCGTGCCTGTGTGGTGGTTAATGTGGAGAGAACAGCCTACTTGGCAACCCATGTACCACTTAGAAAAGCTATTATGCAATGGAAGTGGCAATCATTTACCCGCATTAACCCAGTCTTGGAGCCATCAGATGCCTACTATGGAAAATAATAATTATTTATTTATTTATTTATTTATTTATTTATTTATACCCCACCCTCCCCAGCCAAGACCGGGCTCAGGGTGGCTAACAACCAATAATAAAAACGAGTTGAATGAATATAACTTAAAAACAAGATTAAAATACAACATTAAAACATTAAAACAATTAAAATGCAGCCTCATCACAGGAGGAGAAAGGAAAAATAAAGAGAGGGAGGGAATCAAATTGGCTCCAAGCCAAAGGCCAGGCGGAACAACTCTGTCTTACAGGCCCTGCGGAAAGAAATCAGATCCCGCAGGGCCCTGGTCTCATGAGACAGAGCGTTCCACCAGGCCGGAGCCAGAGTTGAAAAGGCCCTGGCTCTGGTTGCAGCTAATCTAACTTCCTTAGGGCCTGGGACCTCTAGGGTGTTGCTATTTATGGACCTTAAGGTCCTCCGTGGGGCATACCAGGAGAGGCGGTCTCCTAGGTACGAGGGTCCTAGGCCGTAAAGGAAAATCTGCAAGGACAAAATTATCTGCTTCATATGGACTTGAGTGCTGCTCTTGCTGGCTGTTGAAGCTAAAGTGGTGTGTCTTCAGTGATGTAGCCAACCCTGGGGGAAAAACCACCCTGGGGCCTGGACCCAGGAGGCGGCGCTTCCGCTCTTGGTTGAAACTGGTTATCTTGATATACTCCAGTTCAGGTTCAGGGCCAGTTTGGGCATAGAATCAGCCTTGATCACTCTGATGGGTGACATTCGGGTGAAAGACAGAAGCACCATGAACCTGTTGACTCCCCTAGATGACTCAGTGGGTTGAGATACCACAGACCACAGTATATGTCTGCCCTCAGTAAGTTCGTAGTTTGTTTTGTGGTGGCTTCACTACTAATTACAAGGTCTGTTCCATTGAAAAGTAGTGACTGATGGTGCCTTGGACCCCTAGGAGTTGTTGGGTACCACAATTTTGTTTCCAACACTATTTAATATCTACATGAAGCTGCTGTGGAGGTCATTAGAAGGTTTCTGGCAAGATGTCACTGTTCCATTTTTCTGTAACATCTCAAATCAGGAGGTCCTAAACTGGTGCCTGGATGCATTTGTGAGCTGGATGACAGCAAATAATCATGACTATTTGCAAAATTGCATTGGACTAATGGAAGCTGGAATCCAACAACTGCCAGAATGAAACATGTGGCTACTTTTGAGCTAGCTCAGGATTTGCAGCAGCTGTACACCGCTTCAGGCAAGTGCTAGGGCTCTCAATTCATTTCTCAGCCTAGGAAGGTTGGGTATTGTTAGCTGAAAATGACCCAGTAGGCCAACCTTTGAAGCCTAGTGGTCCTATTTAAGCACATAGCAAATACGTTCCCTGGGCTATGGATTGAATTGATACCTACTGTATTCAAAGCATGTATACTTCACCACTGAGTGAGGCACTTTTCAAAGCAGTGATGGGAGTAGTAGGGAGAGGGAGAGGAAGAAATTGATTGGGGGATAACTAATCCAGGCTACCAGTTTGCCCACATGCCATTTAGATCAACAGATACACACAACTAGAGTACAGATTGGATATGGTCAACTAGTGACTAGCCATTCTGTTTAAAAAACCCCACACACAACACCTTGAATTTTAAAAGCTGGTGGCCTTATAAGTTTCCCCAAGCAATTCCTCTATTGTCAAACATTGCAAGCTACCTTATGTTTAAGAACTACTCTTTATAATACTCACTTGGGCCAACAGCATGATACAATACACACAAGCATTTTGCTAAAATCTGGGTCACAGAGATCATCATCAGTATTACTTCTGCAATGAAAAACAAATAATGTAAACTCCAGCAAGCCTTCACCTGCTTATTGAGGGAAGAAGACTCAAAAGTCTTGTTTTACTTGGATTACTTTTGCATGGGGCAACACAATCATTTTGCATGGGAACCCCAGATCAATTCCACATGTTAAAAAAACACTTTGTAGAATCACACTTGATGTCAGGGACTGGCTGGGTGCAGAGGATTGGTGGGAGGAACTAGCTGGAGAACCCCAAGGGAAGAAGGCTGCGAGCTCAGGGATTGGTGGTGGGACGATGGAGTGGTCAGAGGGAGAAGAGGAAGACTGGGAAGAGGAGATGTCAGAAGCTGAAGAGGTAACAGGGTTTAGTGAGCTGGGAGAGTCTGTGGCAGAGAGAAGTTCAGAATCAGAAACGGAAGTTGAAGTAGGAGACGAGGGAGGCCAAGAAGCAGAGATGAGTCTGGCTGGTGAAGAGTCACAGGTGTTTCCCCTTCCTGTTGCAACAAGCTCCCCTCCCTTCTTGTACCGCAGAACCAAGAGAGGCATGTAGAGTGTGGACAAGGTTAGCATCACACAGTTTCAGTTTTGGATTCCTTGGGGAAAATCCTGGAGGGGTGGGGACTTAGGCAGCTGTGGGAAAGTGGGGACCTTCAGTCTCTGCAACTGCATCATGGGGGGCAAGCCATACCAAAAAGGACTTGCTGTGCTCATTAGGCCTGGCACTCCTGTGCAGATCCTGTTTTTGCTGATAAAGAGTTAACTCCACTTGTTTCGTGTGCTTTACCGCTGACTCACTCCAGGCACTTGCCAACTCAGTTGATGCTACTGAGTCCAGCAAACCTCTCAACTCCATAAACTTCATTTCAGACCATGAAAGGGTCATTGGATGAAGGTTGGATGAGGGTGAGTTAGTGTGGCAGTTATGAGTTAAGACCAGGTTTGAGGAACCTGTGGCCCTCCAGTTGCTCTTGAACTCCCATCATTCATGACCATTTGCCATGGTGGCTTGGGGCTGGTGGGAACTTAGAATTGTAGAGTTGGAAGGGACCACAAGAGTCATCTAGTCCAATCCTCTGCAATGCAACAACTGGAGCCCAACAACACCTGGAGGGCCCCAGGCTCCACATCCTTAGTTTAGACTTAGCTGGAGAAGATAACCAAGTTCACAGTGGGTGGTCTTGGCCCAATCTTCCTCTCTCAGGCATTGCACTTAACAGGGGTTTTTTGAGAATGTATTGGGGTGCACCTAAGTACAGCCGTCTGAGCTCAATGGAATAAGATAGGCAACAAAGGTGAATAACAAAAATCATGCTGCCACCTGATTGAAAAAACCTTAGCTGATTGAACTTTACTCAATTAGATAGATTGAATTTGCATAGATTCTCACCTAATAAAACAAGCAGACTCTCCCCATCCCACATAATTTTGTCTTTAAATAAATAACACGTCACAACAGATACCCAACATTCATTACCTCATGTGTCAGGATGGTGCCCACTACCTCCAGGTGTTTGGGAGGTGGGTCTGATAATGCTCACCACCTGTAGTTTCTGAAAGTTTATATATTTTTTTTACAAAAATGTTTAATCTGCTCCCCTAGTAGCCTCTCACTTCAACATTAGTAATATTTTAATCAAATTAAATTGATGCATCAAATCAGCTCTGGGTTTAACCAGCAAACCCTGATTGACTTTAGCCAGAAATGGGACATTCCCACTGGTAGAAACCTTTAATGCAGATCTTAACTTTCCAGAGAACAGTGCAAATCTTGCTTACTTTAAACTGGGGTGTAGGACCTTAATATTACTAAGCAAACTAAGGGCATCCTAATTCATACTAACTGCAGAGACATGGATGGAGAAGAAACAAATCACCTAACCTAATACAGGGTTATGATAAAACTGATAAATAAAACTCACAGTAGGGTTAAAGTTGATTCATTTAACCTTAGCTACTGAGAGGTCTCCAGCCACCTTTTCTAGCTTTTAGAAAAGAATCAATTGTCCTATGGCTCAACTGAAGTTACATACATTTCTGTATTTTGAGGTCACTGCACACTTGGCAACTTGCAGACTCTTTAAGGAAATGGTTCAGTGTTGTAGCTATGGGGATCTCTATTATGACTTACACGCTTGGTAATGACTTCCAGAGAGGTGGCTATTTTAACCAGTTTGGATATTTTAAAGATCATGATTTGTTGTTGAATGAAATTATGCCACAAGTCTTTAAGGTCTCAAATGACTCTTAAAAGGTTACCAGATTTTTTTCAAAGAATCCAAAAAGAGAAAAAAGAGTAATTAAAAGAAGGGGGGTTTTGTGTGTTTTTAAAAAAGAAGTAATATATTCTCTTCTGTGATCTCCTCTGTCACGTGGCCTTCCTCTGGGCCCCGGCCTGCTCTCTTGAAGCACTAGCTGCCGTGGAGTAGGCTCGGGTCAGGCCTGGGCTCGGTCACGTGTCCTTGCCCTCCCAGAGCTCTCCTCCTTAGCAGCGGCAGCGGCGCAGCCAGGTCAGGGCTCTCCTCTTTTTTCTCCTTCCTCTTTCTCTCTCTTCCTTCTCCTCTCCTCCTTCTCCCTGCGTTGGCTCCAGGGTTTCCCTGGCCCCAGAACACCGCTGGGCAGTCAGCCGGGTAGCTGGGTGCTCTCGCTCCTGGCTCAATTTGGGTCGGGGGGGGGTTTTCAACGGTTCCCCCAGTTGACATGCCAGGCGTCTCCAGTTCCACCTCAGCAGTGGTGGAGGAGCAGCAGTTTCAGCAGCCCAGAACCAGCCTGGTAGTGCAGTTGGCTCTGGCTGGCTTCAGGAGCTGCTCGGTGTAGTGGCGCCCACCATTTTGCCTCACCGGAAGTCCCCATATGATGTGTCTTGTGTCGTTGAACCAATCACACAACATTCATTCCCTACTAATAAATCTACAACACTTAAAATATAGATCTGGGGACATTAAATGAAATCTGGGGACATTCCGGGGACGGATTTTGTCCGGGGACAGATTTATAAATCCAGGGACTGTGCCCGAGAAACGAAGACATCTGGTAACCATAATCTTAGGCATTTGTCATGCACCACCGTGACTTGGTATCAAGAAAATGTAATATTACATAGCCAGGGATATGAGAGAAATGAAACAGAACAAGCTCCTAGTGATCGCTAGCTAGGAAGGGGCAAAAAGTGCCTAAGGTTGTGTTACTTTCACTGGGAAAAAGGGGAAGAACCTCTTACAGCCAAGAGCTTGAGAAGAACTCAAGGTGTTAAGTGGCTGAAGCTTCTTTTCTGCCGCCCCCCCCCCCCATCCCAAGCTCAGAATCAGGAGTATTAACGTGGCACTTTTGCTTAAGTGTAATTTGGGGATACGTCCTTGGGTTGTGTCTCAATTTACCGTTCTTCCGCATCTGATTATCTGATTTCTGTTCAAGATTAGGTTACCAGCTGTGTGATAGGCCTCTTGAAACAGCTCAAGGCTATAGGCTTCTGGCACAACTAATCCAACCCTACGTCCTCCAGATAATGCGTACATGCGTTGGCGGGTGTAAGGCCAAGGCTGCATTCAGCAGCCAGCAAATTGTGGCCTTCGATTTCAGAAGTGAGGACCTTTCTCCAGTTTTGAGTCTCTTTACTAATTTGACTACAACCTTTTTATGATGTACCAGGATCTCTTAACTACATGCATATAGTGTGAATAATTGCCAGGTTGACTTGAGGCAATAAAACAATTTACTTTGAACTGTGTGAGCAAAAAAAAATTTCCACTGTCAACTCTAAAACATCTGAAAACAGAAAAGGGTAAAGATTCTGAAGCTCTGGTGTTACTCTGCTAGTGACACTGGTACAGGTGTGATCTTTGCGCAGATAAAAGACAGACACATTGAGTTTCAGAAACACTATTGGCCACAAGAATTCATTCCTTTCTTGTTTTGCAGCCTCTCGTTTTGGGACAGGCCACACCACTTAAAGCAATTATGAAAATAATTTAAAGGATAAAAAGTGGTTTCTTTCCATCACAACATAAGGAATGGTAGGGAAAGAGACAAATGAAAAACTTCATCCTGAGGATTAAGCAGGGCTATTGACTGCTTGGCTCCAAAGCGCCCTCTCCGATTGCATGAGCCCAGACAGCCCCATGGTTTTCCACGGATCTGAGGGCAATGAAACAATTGTTGAGATGGCTAGAGCGCCGGTGGCGGATAACTCATTCTGAAGCTGACAGGACACGGGTTAGAGCTCAATGTCGAGCCTACCAAGTGGCGATAACGACGGCGAAGATGACTTTCTTTACCGCCTCTATTGCGTCTGCAGAAAACAGCAGCAGGAGACTCTTTTGGGTGTGTCACAATTTAGCAGAAACACCTGCTCCATTGGGGCCCTGTACGGGCCACATGATCTCCTGCAATGATTTTGCAAAGTTTTTTGCAGATAAAGTTGCTCAGATTCGGGAAGAGGTAGACTCCACCATGGGAGCAGGGCTGAGGTGGGAGAGTGCTAGAGTCCTGTCTAGTCAAGTTGCATGGGATCAATTCCAATCTGTTACCTCCGAGGATGTGGACAGGCTGCTTGGACGCATGAAACCAACCACCTGTCTCCTTGATCCTTGCCCATCCTGGCTTATCAAAGCTAGCCAGGAAGGGCTAGGCGATAGGCTTCGCGGGGTGGTGAATGCTTCTCTCTGTGAGGGAGCCTTCCTAGACCTGCTGAAAGAGGCGGTCATTAAACCGCTTCTCAAAAAACCACCTCTAGACCCGGCCAATATGGCCAACTATCGCCCAGTCTCAAATCTTCCATTCTTGGGCAAGGGTGATTGAGCGAGTGGTTGCTGAACAACTCCAGGAACACCTGGAAGCGGACCATTTGGATCCCTTCCAGTCGGGATTCAGGCCTCATCACGGGACTGAAACTGCCTTGGTCACACTGGTCGATTTCTGGCGGGCTAGGGACAACAAAGGTGAGAGCTGTTTCCTAGTTCTGCTGGATCTCTCAGTGGCTTTTGATACCATCAACCATAACATCCTTCTGGATCATCTAGAGGGGCTGGGAGCTGGGGGCACTGTTATACGGTGGTTCCGCTCCTTTCTCCTGGGCCTGTTCAGAAAGTGGTGGTGGGGGATGATTGTTCAGACCCCTGGGCTCTCACTTGTGGGATGCCTCAGGGTTCTGTCCTCTCCCCCATGCTTTTCAACATCTACATGCAGCCGCTGAGAGTGATCATCAGGGAGTTTGGGTTGGGTGTTCATCAATATGCGGATGATACCCAGCTCTACCTCTCTTTCAAATCAGAACCAGTGAAGGCGGTGAAGGTCCTGTGTGTCTGGAGGCAGTTGGAGGATGGATGACAGCTAACAGATTGAGGTTGAATCCTGACAAGACAGAAGTACTGTTTTGGGGGGACAGGAGGCGGGCGGGTGTGGAGGACTCCCTGGTCCTGAATGGGGTAACTGTGCCCCTGAAGGACCAGGTGCGCAGCCTGGGAGTCATTTTGGACTCACAGCTGTCCATGGAGGTACACGTCAATTCTGTGTCCAGGGCAGCTGTTTACCAGCTCCATCTGGTACGTAGGCTGAGACACTATCTGCCCACGGATTGTCTTGCCAGAGTGGTACATGCTCTAGTTATCTCTTGCTTGGATTACTGCAATGCGCTCTATGTGAGGCTACTTTTGAAGGTGACCCGGAAACTACAACTACAGTGGTACCTCAGGTTAAGTACTTAATTTGTTCTGGAGGTCCGTTCTTAACCTGAAACTGTTCTTAACCTGAAGCACCACTTTAGCTAATGGGGCCTCCTGCTGCCGCCGCGCCGTCAGAGCACGATTTCTGTTCTCATCCTGAAGCAAATTTCTTAACCTGAAGCACTATTTCTGGGTTACCGGAGTCTGTAACCTGAAGCGTATGTAACCCGAGGTACCACTGTAATCCAGAATGCGGCAGCTAGACTGGTGACTGGGAGCGGCTGCCAAGACCACATAACACCAGTCTTGAAAGATCTACATTGGCTCCCAGTATGTTTCCGAGCACAATTCAATGTGTTGGTGTTGACCTTTAAAGCCCTAAACGGCCTCGGTCCAGTATACCTGAAGGAGTGTCTGCCTGGACACTGAGGTCCAGCGCAGAGGGCCTTCTGGCAGTTCCCTCGCTGAGAGAAGCCAAGTTACAGGGAACCAGGCAGAAGGCCTTTTCGGTAGTGGCACCCACCCTGTGGAACGCTCTCCCACCAGATGTCAAAAAGAGGAACAATTACCAGACTTTTAGAAGACATCTGAAGGCAGCCCTGTTTAGGAAAGCTTTTAATGTTTGATGCATTACTGTATTTTAATACTTTGTTGGAAGCCACCCAGAGTGGCTGGGGTATAAATAATAAATTATTATTATTATTATTAACTGGAATTCTTGTGAATAGACACAAAACATAGTAAAAAGAAACAAATCTACAGGATCCTTGGTACAACTTATGTTGTTGGGCCTTTTGCATACTTTTAACCCATTCGGCAATTTCATTATATGAATAAAAAACAGGTCTACACATAACTGTTAATTGATTGGCTTTCTGCAGTCACAGCTTGGCAACTGTGCAGGCCAATTACAGAAAGGTCTACAACTAGCAAATATAAAATGCTCTCCTACTTCTCCAGTCAGCTGTTTTATCTCCCACTCCTGAGAAGTTTAGAGGCCAAAAAGATACAACTGTTGCTTCATCAGAATGTGCTTATTAACAAAAGCGACCCAACTCTGAGCAGCCTTCTACCCACCAAAGCCTTATGACAAATTGGTTTTCAAGCTCATTTGAAGTCAACTTCCATGTTGTGGTGGATGCCATTTTGAATAATTTTCAAAAAGTTTCAAATATGGCATGGATGAGGGCCTGTTGTCTCAATTGATCTCATTAAATCCTTTTTCTTTCTTTTTTAAAGGAACCTAAAGACTTACTGGCTTCTAAGCCATGATTTTGTGGGAAAGCAATTTTGCATCAAGAATATTAACCCTTTTGTAATGAAACTTTTTGCCAGTTCACATAAACTTGCTCTGCATATAATAAAGTGTTGCTGTTGTAGTGGTGCTGGCTAATATAAGAGGTCACAATGTGCCAGGACAGGAACCCTTGGCCTGCTTTCCGGTTGTCCTCTAATATTTTTTTTTTGCAAAATGCCTACCCTGCTAGAAAGGGTAGAGCGCCTAGACTTCAAATAAATACAAAGTTTTTTTAAAAAAAAACAACAGTGACCATGGGCTTAAAATGATCTCTCCTTCATAGCTGCTATCTGCAGAGTGCAATGTGCTTCCCCAACTCTTCCTAGTTTACATTCTGGTTTTTACAAAACCACCTTTTTGGGAAGTGGAACATGCAATAGCCCTCTCCAAATGGGCCTATAAATGATTAATTCCAAGATGGAAGTAATACTTAGCACTCTTCAATTGGTCAACATAATGAAGACAAGGTTAGGGAGAAAGCAAGTTTGGAGCTTGTTATAGCCTAGGGAAGATCATCTACAGTGATGATTATTTAGACAAAAAACTTTATAATAAATCACCCCTTTCAGAGAAACAGGAGTATTAATGAAATGCAGGAGCATCCATACTGAATTCAGATGAACTGTCAGAAAGCTTAGGTTGATACCTTGTTGCGTTCTAGATGAAAATTCACAAGGAGCCTGAGCATTTTGTATCTTAGTCTCTCTCCCATGCCCAAGACAAGTGTTTTTAGGAATAAAGTCCTCTCTATTCTACAACAAATGAGCTACTGTGGGGAATATTTGGCCTCCCAGATGTTACTGAACTACAACTCCCATAAGCCCCAGCCAGCATGGTCAACAGTCAAGCCACATTTGAAAAAGCTAGTGTCTAGACAAGCATCATGAAATCTTCATGGTTCAATAGAAATAACTTACCCCTAAAAATGCCTGAGTTATTTATTTGTCAAGGCCAATGCCAAAGATAGGCCCCTCCCTACTTAACTTCCAAGAAGACTTTGTAATTCCAGTAGGCATTTCAAATTAAGGTTGATTTTATAGGTTGCAGTATATACTGTTTAAATAAAATAAATAATTTGGTCCAAGGCATGAAAACTGGATCATTTTGAGGAAGACATTTACTAGTATCAGAAACAACCTTGTTTATGGAAACAAGTCAACATTTTCTCTTCATCCTTGATACAACAGTGTGAGAGTGAACAAATTTGGTTTTGTGTTACAAGTTCTTGGGGAGGTCTATCTTATATTGTACTTGAATTTTGTGGTCATTCACAGATACCTTTCACTCTTTAAAAAAACTTTATTTTTCAAAATAATTGTAATTCATTAGACTGTATGTGAAGTTACCAATAAGGAAGTGAACCCAAACATCAGACATTTGCTGCACTTTCAATCTTTTGTAACACGCATGATTTTCAAAATGAGTTTTACATTTTGATTTTACAATTTTTTAAATTGTACGAATACTTATAAACAGTGGATTTTTTGACTTGGAAAGGGATACACATCTAAAGCACAAAAATACTGCAAAAATGTCATTTGAAAATGTGATTAACCTATTACAGTTTTAGTAAGTCAAATCTAGTTAGCACCTTACTGAAGTCAGCCTTGAGTGTAAAATTAGTGCATATAATTGCTAAATATGTACTGTTCAACCAGTAATGGCACATTACCAGCCAAATCCTTGAAACTGAAAATGTTTCAGCTTTCACACATCTGGAGTAAACAATGTTTCCAATTTAACACAGAAATAAAATAGGTTCTTGCTTCTTTTTAAGTTGATTTTTTGAAAAGCAATCATTTATAAAGATTGCATCAACATCCATTAGCAGAGGAAGATCCAACTTTATTGAAACTGCTTGCATACAAAATATATTGCACTATAACCAAACAAATGTCAACATAAAATCCAATCTGTTGTAGCTAATATGTACAGAGAATATTGCCCAAGAGCAGTTACATTACAAGGTCATTCTACCTTGGTTAATTATCTACAGTATTTTAAACCAAACAGCTTACAGATGATGTGTGCAAGGTACCAATTTCAGTTTTTTCAAATACTATACATTCCCCCAAAATAAATAACTAGAAATCAACATTTAAAGTTTGGCAATATTTAAGACTTTTTAATATTTGTTAAGTTGTGTGCAGTTTGTTGCCATTTTTATATGCTTGCTTGTATGCAAGGGGGTGGATGGGCGGAGAAAAAGCAGCAGAGAAACAAAAATGCACAACATGCAGATACAAGGGCCAGGTTTGTACAATTCTGTACATAATCACCCAAACTCCTACTGGAGTAATTTAAGAAAAACAGAATAGCTTAAAATGGAAGTCCTATTACACTTTTTTTTTTTTTTTTAAGTACAATTTCATTCATGATCAGAAATAAAAAGCATCCCCCACCCCTATTATGGGCAACTAAACTTAATGCCAACTTCAGTAACATGTTTTGAATCTACTTGTACACGAGACCTTGTAAGACTGTTCTGTTTCCAAGGCTGTTGAACTACACTATCCCTGAATTTTTCTAAGTTTCACATATAGAAATCAACTTCCTTTCTTATCTGATACAGATTCCAAATTTCAAACAAAAATGTAGGGGAACTAAAAAGAAAGCTATTCTTTAAAATTGGTCCTCTGGCCAACAGCAGGCACAAACTACTAGCTTATGAACAAGTTACAATTTGTTCCCTCAGTAACCATGAATTGTTTTAGTTTATCACAAATGGAAATAGGTTTAAAAAAACAAAACAAAAACAAAACAAAAAACTTCTCTTGTCCTGTCTGAAAAGGAAACAAAAACAAAACACACCATCTCAGTAACACAATCTGCCATTATTTCAGTGCAAAATAAATTTTCTATTCTTAAAACTGCCTAACTGGATGTTTATGCAAGGAAAAAAATATGGAAAGCATGCATTCTTCTAATAAAGTACTAATTGTTGGAGAAGTTTTGCTACATATATTGTACATTTAGTGTTTCCAACTCAGCTTCCCTGATTTCTGCATCCAAATATAGTATTCCTACCTGCCAAGATATAAAAAAGGCACAGATCATACAACTTTTTGCTAATGAAAATGACAATTTAGTTACATTACACATATATCGAGAGGTTCACTAAAATACTGAAAAAGTGAACCAAAATGTGAACTGACACAGGACATAAAACAGAACCTTTTAATGTTTAAGGTGAGTAACTTCTAAAAGATTAAAAACAGAAGCCCAATCTGATTACTGCAAACACTATTTATTCTAAAAATTGAAATTTAGCAGTGATTTTGACCAATTCTTTGAAATGGTACAACTGAACAGAAATACCAATGCACAGTTTCATTATTTTATAAACAAACAAATGGATTATTTCATCGTTTGAAGTGCAATATGTACTTAAAAGCAATTTTTTTTCCAGAAGTTCAAGGTATTTTTAATGCAAGTAAAACATCTTATTTTGAAAAAACTGCATACTGATGTTTAAAAAAGGCGAAAAGAACTTTTTATATTCATTTCATGCCCTGCGCCATCTTGCCTACTATTTGTCTTTGGCCTAATAAGTTTATCTAATGTGGAATAAGTTTTACTGAAACAGTTTAGGAAATATAACTTCTCAAACTATGCAGTTTAGGGTACTCCATTCACCAACGGTTGCTGACCATCCCCGCTGTCCGACTTCTCTTTCTTCTGGTTACGATCTTTACCCGTGCGCAACCGGCTACCTTCATTGGAGGTATTCTGTGATGTTTTAGTGTGGACACTCCTTTCATTATTGCAGTCAATTCTGATCTGAAACAAATTAGAGTTATATAAAGCATACCCCTTTGATAATTTAAAAAGGAACATTTATCAAGACTCGTTGGAGAGCACTTTTTTCTAAGAAGTTTTCCCCCTTCTTCAAATAAAATATATTCTAGAAGGGTGCCATTAAAAGGAACCAAATTTATTTTTAATACCGTTCAGGCATTTAGGCTTGTACAAAGGTCAGAACTTGCTTCAACACTTGACTGTGTGTATCATAGCTATTAGTAATTTTGCAGGACTGGTTTCCTAGGCAAACCCAACAAAACCTGAAATTTACCTTCCAAATAAGATGGAAGCTGATCTTCTATAGGTAAGCATTTAGTAGTCAAAGCTAAGCAGTGGTTTATTTTTGTATATTTTTAGAAACAGGATTTCTAATTTCTAAAAATGCATTTCAGAGCTTTTATTAAGTCAACTGTTCAAAAGTATTACTCTTCTTGATCCTTTGGGAACGATGGAAATTAAAAACCTAAGTAAAATTATTTTGGGTGGTACCAAATCGTGTCTGTTCACTGATGGACGGTAACCACCAGTGGAATTGGGGGAGGCGACGACAATTTTAGGTAATTCCCACCCCTCCTACACCAGCTCAAAGTGTTCCTTTTACCCAGGCAGATTTAGGGGCACACAAGGGAATGAAGGAGGAATTGTTAAAAATTAGCCCTCCCCCTTCGGCTAACGAACGTCTTCAGTCATTGGCAGTAATATACCATTACTGAGGCAACTTCCAATGACCAAATGTAAAGTTGCAGAATTGCCAGGGGGTGGGGGGGAAGGTGGGGGGGAGACTTTTATGAAGACAGGGATAGGTGTGCATGGATGCATCACTCCATGAATATCAAGAGCAACTCCATTTATGCAGATGCTGATGAGTGCATAGGTAATAAATAAATAAACAAATGATTTTTTTACCTGAAGTGACCCATCTGCTGTTCTCCCTTTAGTATCTCTTGAATTACGTTGACGGTTATCTGTTCGCAACTGTTCATCATTTCCTGCACATCAAAAATAGATTTTAGAAAAGTCTTCCCTGTTGTTGTTGTTCTTTGGATCTTATCGTATTTTCTGAGTATAAGACAATGTATTTTGCTTTAAAAAATTAGTCAAAAATTTGGGGTTGTTTTATACACAGATGGTGAATGCACAGGGGTTTGTGTTTAGCGCAAGCTCAGGGCAATCTTGTGATTGCTGAAGAAAAGCTCAACAACTTTGTCCAACCTGATCGCTGCTGTTTAAATATATGGTACTAAATATACCGGTGCTTTGATTAAAAAAAAGAGTCGTCTTTATACATGGGGGGGGGGTGTCTTATACATGGAAAAATACGGGGTACTTTTTAAATAGTAAACTGCACTGTGTATACTGGTAGGAAAGTGATATATAAATGTAAAAAAAAGAATGCTTTACATTTCTGGTGAAAATTAGATGTTCACACATTTAGATAAAAATCATAAAACATTTTAGGGAAATGAGTCACAGAAAAACCTCTAATCAGTAGCTTAGGGTGGGACCTATAGCAAACCTGCCTTGATAAGCCCCAAGCTGTGCAACTTTTGGGATATATATTGTGTAGGTACAAACCAGCTTGTTAATTGGGCAGATTTGGTGGCCTTCGTGTGAGTGGACAACAGCATTTATTGATATGTATTTCTCCTCTGTATTCTCTCACTCCTTGCTTTCTGGAAATCCCAGTTGCTATTTTGCCTCTACCATTCCTCAGTTCGCATGGAATATGGTTTGGCCCGATTCAGTTTTAAAGGATTTTTGTTTTGTTTTGTTACTGCTACAGTGTTGTTCAGCAAATCTACTAGCTTCATTTCAGACATACACCAGCTGTACAGGACGTGATCAAGAGCTCTAATAGCTCATCTGCCATGTAGTATCATAATCATTTACTCACCTTTGAAACCTCCCCGACCCCTTCCTCCTTGACCACGTGCACCTCCACCACGTCTTCGCCCATCTCCTCTGCGAAGGTAGATGTCACGCTCTTCTTCTGCTGGGGCTAATGACCAGTCGATAAGCTCATCTCTGTGATCAGACTCTGTTTCAGAAGCATTTGATGCTTCAGAATTAGCTCCTATCAAAGTTTAAAAAAACCAAGACATACCACAGTCTATTTTCACAATATTTTAGAAAAATCCAACCAACTGAATGACCCACCGGTTAAAACTAGCCTCTTTCTAAAATATTAATTTCATATTGTTTCTGTAATATTTCTCAGCAAGGACAATGTAAAAATAAAGTTCTAGTCAAGATTAATTTAAGCAGCTTATCTGTTTAAGAAAAGGGATCTCAGCTCAATTCACTAGTGCTAAGAATGAAGAGGAATTCATTATATGAGCTGCTGTTTAAAATTTGCTTTGACATAGGTGTAATAAGAGTCCTGATTACATGTTGCATGTGTGATGAAATCGTACAGAACGGCTTGTTAAGACTACTGCAAGTGGCTTTCATGTGACAAGCACAATGTGTAGACTGAATTATATTCACAACAGTTTGTAGACACTGACCAATACAGTTCACATGACAATGTCAAAATTTCAATAAAAATAAAAGCTTTTCATGGTGTTTTTGTAATTTGTTACACAGCACCCAGAAACAAATGAGAACCTCACTATCCAACTATGGATAATGGAAGAGGTAATTTTTCTTTCTGGATAAGAAATTAGGATCTTTGAACTCAATACATTACTTTCAACTCAAGGTACATTCGTATGTTAATAAAGTTACTGCAATCAATTTATAGATGTTCAGTCTGTATAGTATTTCAGAATGGACATTAAGACATAACCAAATGAACCCAACAATGAACATAGTAGGTGTCACAACTATTATGTAGAGGTCACATTTATTTCCATATCTGCAACTCATTCACATTTTTAGACATACTCAACCACATAACAAATAAAGGCACATAACAAATCAGAGGGTACAAGTTCGAACCATCCAAGTTACCTACCTGAAGCATAGCCTGGGCCACGTCTCCCATGCCCTCTGTTTCTGTAGGGTCGGCTGCCTCTTCCAAGACCTGGGCCATCATCAGTCATGTATCCTTTTTCTTTATCTGTGCGGTTTGGTGGTGGTCTAGAAGTGGCCCCAATCTGTCGAAGCTGTTCATCTATTTGCAGTCTCTCTAGACGCAGTTGATCCACTTCCTATAAACAGAGAACTAAGTTACAGGAAGTTGCTGCCATTTTAACCAATCTTATTAAGTGTCTTGGTCAGAGGTTTGGCTTCTTCCACAACTGGCTTAAGAAACATATGATAATGTCAGGATTTAAACCAGTTACTCAGCATTGTTAAGAATTTTGTTTCCTACATAGCTATTTAACCTGAGAATTTGAATTAGCTTAGAAACTCAGAAAAATATCACAAACTATTGTTCTAAGCCAGGGGTGGCCAACTCTCAAGAAACAGCTATCTACTTTCAGAATTAAAAACTGGCAGTGATCTACCCCCGTTTTTCTGGGGTTCAGCTCAAAGTTCTGGAGCTTTTTGGGGGGGAGGAGGAAAGCCCTGTTTTTTTTGGGGGGGTCAGCTTGAAGTTGTCGAGCTTTTATTAGGGGTTAAATAAAAGCTTTTTGGGGGGGAAAGGCTAGGGACAAAGGGGTAATGTCACTCACAAAAAGATTGCTATGGATCAAAACAGCAGCACAGAGAAAGCTCCATCTTCCCTTCCAGAGATCATACAGCTATGGGGGGGGGGGCAAGGGGGCAGGAGTCAGTTTGGGGGCGCTAAGGAAAGGGAGCCAGAGATTGACCGCGATCTATCAAAACCTCACAGGGAACTACCAGTAGATCACAATTGACCTGTTGGACATCGCTGTTCTAAGCTACCTTTTCCACTCCCCACAAAGTATGTTAATTTCCTTACCTTTAAATAGTTGAGGTGATAATCCAAAAGAACTGTGGCATTCGTAATGCTGTCCTTGGTTCCCACAAAGACAAAAGGAACCATTCCCTAGAAAGGAATTGGTGAATCAGAGATCTTCAGGTGCAAAGCCATAGCAATTGCAATTTCTTTAGGAAAAGAATGAACATTCCTAGCTCTATCGATACTCATAACTTTCCAGATGACATTTAAAATCTATGTTAAGCAACATAAAATACTACAAGCAAATAATAAAGTATCAGTCTCCAGGTGGTTTACATAAAGACTGTGGGTTTTTTCCAACTAAGTTCTACTCAGAGTAGATTCACTGAAATTAATGGACCTAGGTTAGTCATGTCCATTAATTTCAATGGGTCTTCTCTGAGTAGAACTTTGGATACAATTCTATAAGATTATATTTATTCATAATAAAGATAACTCACAACTTACATGAGGGTTACATTCTGGAGATGGTGCATATATACACAAAAACCACACTTTGGAACTGCCCCTGGGGGAGCAATCTTATCTTCTGGAACTGTTGCATTGAATAGGCCTACCCTCCAACCCACAAGCGAGGCAGAGAGCTTAAAAGCTCTTTCTGAGTGTGGGAACTGCACAAAAAAACCACTCTGCCTTTCGTGTATTTAATCTGTGTTATTTCTACAGTGCAAAGTTGAAATCTCACATGTTAAATGCAAGCAGTTGTGAGCTACCTGCATATCTCAATTAAAGCCGAGCAGTGTACAAAAGAAAAAGAAAAAAAACAAGTCAGTTGAGGAAGGTGTAAGCCAACAAAGGTTTAAAGAATTGTTTGGAAGTCAGTACTATCTCTTCCTCATGAATTACTTGAGGAAGGGGATTCCAGAAAGTGGGTGCTATCACTGAAAAGGCCCACTTTTGCATTGATCTAAAGTGTCAACATGCTGGTCCTGAACTGACCAGTGATGTTTCCTCAGATCTTACAAATTAGCTTGATCTGTACTGTGGGAGGTGGTCTGCTAGATATCCTCGTCCCGGGATAAAATCAACAAAACATTGAATTTGGCTCACAAGTAAGTAGGCAGCAGATGTTGATCTCAATGCTGAGTGTGCTATGAACGCATCTGAAGTTGCAACTTCTGAACCAGGCATAAGAGTAGCCCTATGTGCAGAGCACTGAAAGTGTCTAATCATGAGTTTATCATTGCGTGGACCATCATGGCAAGGGTATCCCTGTCCAGGAACAGTCAAAATTAACACACCAACTGAAATTGGTAATAAACGCTCCAAGAAAATGAGGCCAGCTGGGTTTCTAGAGGTAGCAAGTGGTTGAGCAGCAAAGTCAAACTATGCACCAGCTCCTTTAGAGAGAGTAAAACTCCATCCAGAGCTGGTATACAACTCAATTGCTGGGCCTGGTAACTGCCATCCATAGTGTCTACACGTTGTAAGAATTTAGTAGCTGTTTGGGTATCTTCAGCATACTGGTGACACCTTGACCCAAACCTCCAAATGAATGCACCCAACAGCTTCATATAGGTATTAAATAGCAATGGGAATGATGAAAGGGACCCAGGCAGAGTCGTCCAGCACAAGGTGGGAGAGAACCTGTACAGGAATGAAACAATCCAAAAACAGTGTTCCCAGCTCTTAGATGCAAACCAGATGAGATGAGCATGGGCAGAGAGCATATAGCAAGCTGCATACATCTTGTGTACATCTTCAGGCATGAGCAACTACAACAGATTCCATAAAAATGGACAGGATGATACACTGAACACTTCAGAAACTTTATCAATGGCAACACTTAGCTTCACATGGAGGCAGGCAATTATCTCCTCAGATTGCCTTGCAGAATTTCAACAGTGGGCTTCTGAGGTTGACAGGACACCCATAGCAGCCCCAATCAATTTCTCTGACCAAACACCAGGTACAACTCTCACAGCCCAGGAGAGGGGGTTTCATGTTCTGGCGATTCCCTCACTGCAAGATGTGAGGTTACAGGGAACCAGGCAGAGGGCCTTCTCAGTAGTGGTGCCCTCCATATGGAACATCCTCCCATCAGATGTCAAGGAAATAAACAACTATTTGACTTTTAGAAGACATCTGAAGGCAACCCTGTTAAGTGGAGTTTTTAATATTTTATGTTTTAACAGGTTTTTAATATTCTGATGGGAGCTGCCCCAGAGTGGCTGGGGTATAAATAATAAATTATTATATTATTATTATGTTGAACATAATTACCCTTGTGGACAATGACTCCCCTTCAGACCATATAATTTGGATTAGTGATGCACTGAGTACCTAGGTGGGCAAAGCTAGGTCAGATATGATTTTAACCAGCTGTTTCATCCAGATCCTGGTAATATGTGGCAGGTCTGTTCCCTTATCCAGAATCAGATTTGAGATTTTGTTAAGTACTGGCCTGGTGTTCATCAACAGGACCAGCAGATCAGAGGGCACAATAGTCCTAGGGGAGTGGTTACCCCACTTAAATGACACATTACATTTTGTAAAATTAGGGAGCAAAGTCCAGAAGGATTTGCAGCCTTCCCAAGAGGAAAAAGACAGTTCAGTGACACCTCTAATTCCCCTATGCCTCCAGGTGTATAGGCATGAAAATAATAATAATAATAATAATAATAATAATAATAATAATAATAATAATTTATTATTTCTACCCCGCCCATCTTGCTGAGTTTCCCCAGCCACTCTGGGTGGCTGCCAATTGAGTGTTAAAAATAGAGAATGGGCAAGAGATTGGGAGCAGATTGCCAGTAGAAATCTGCGTCCCCCACCTCTCCAACAGTATCCTCTCCCCAGCAACCATGCCTTCCCCTTCCATTGTTACATGTTAAATGTACATTTATCTGTTAAAAGATGATCCTTCAGTTATCAGTTACGTTAAGTGTTAAATCAACCTGCAAAAGAAGAGAAAAAAACAAGGGGAGGGGAGGTTCAATGTTACTTACCTGCCAAGTTTTGAGTTCAGGTTTTTGCTTTCTCCCTGCCACAGTTGATGACACAACTAACGCCTGCAGTGTAAGGAATGCAAGTATTAGTGATGTCATTAAATACATAGGAGTTAACACAGAACCTTCAACTCAAAACTTGACAGGATATAAACACTGCAACCCACCTTTTAAAGAAGCATTTGAAAACTGCAAATAGGTATATGCCTAATTTACAGTTTACACTGGTAGAACCTTAAGTGTGCAAGTATCTCTCTGCAGTAGTTAGTTTCTGCTTTGTGAGACATGGTCACCATACAAGCACTTTATAGTTCCAAAGAAATTATGCAACGGGCCAATGCAACAGATTTGTGTTTTAAATATTTATTAATACATGTGTTTGATAAAAAACCAAAGGCAAGTGACAAGTATGCTATTGGAACTAACTGTACAATAAAAAAAATTACAATTGTACAAAACTGTACAATTGTACAAAACTGTACAAAAAATTACAATACAATTTTATTGGCTAAATACCACCACCAAACTTTGGACTCAATCTATTAAAGTTCTGAGCCCATAAGATACAGCAGGATATAAAGACCATCGCCAAATCCTAAGCTGTGAGATATACTTAAATTCTGAAATGGAAATACAACTCTCGATGTTCCCATACATGAATCTGTTGCTCTTTCAGAACCTAAAAAAAGGAAGTCTGTATTATGACCCTTTAAGATGCCTGGGTTCGAAGCCAGTCTCTTTCACAATTCTCCATTTCATACCTCCCCCCCATCAGTCAACTAATTTTTTATGTCCATTGAGCAATCCTCATTATACCTTTGAAAAACCTGGGATTCACACAAGTCTGCTGATACTGACTTGTATGTGCATGGTGACATTTTACTAGAATTTATACATGGAAAATGGTTTGTTATTGATGCGCAGGACAGGGTGGATAAAAATAAATGATTTTTTATTTTTTATTTTTAAAATCGTATTTTTTGTATTTAAATAGGATTTCTTTGATTTAAATCAGATTTTTAAAAATAAAATGCTTCTGGAGTAAAAATCTTTCTAAGTACCGTATTTTTCGCTCCATAGGATGCACTTTTTCCCCTCCAAAAATGAAGGGGAAATGTGTAAGGCCCTATGGAGCGAATGCAGGCTGCTGAGCCTGAGAGCGAGAGGCACGGTGCGCACCGACCCTCTCGCTCTCCAGGCTTCAGGAAGTTATCCGCAAGCCTTGCAAGCCCGGTGGGAGTTCCCGCGGGCTCACAAGGCTTGCAGGCAGCAGCCTGCAGCCCCGGCGAGTGTCCGCAGCCTTGCGCGCCCGGCAGGAGGTCCCGCCGAGCGCGCGAGGCTTGGGGCAGCAGCCTGTCGCCGAAGCACGGGGAGCCCTCCGGAGGGCTCCCGTGCTTCGGGCGAGTGTCTGTAGCCTTGCGCGCCCGGCAGGAGGTCCCGCCCAGCGCGCAAGGCTTGGGGCTGAGCCTGCCGCCGAAGCACGGGGAGCCCTCCGGAGGGCTCCCGTGCTCGGGCGAGTGTCTGCAGCCTTGCGCGCCCGGCAGGAGGTCCCGCCCAGCGCGCAAGGCTTGGGGCTGTAGCTTGTCGCCAAGCACGGGGAGCCCTCCGGAGGGCCCCCGTGCTTCGGGCGAGTGTCTGCAAGCCTCTTGCGCCCGGTGGGAGGTCCCGCCGAGCGCGGCGAGGCTTGGGCGGTAGCCTGCAGCCCCAAGCACGCGAGGCTTGGGGCGGCAGCCGTGGGGGGAACAACTTTTTATTCATTTCCCCCCCCCAAAAAACGAGGTGCGTCCTATGGGCCGGTGCGTCCTATAGAACGAAAAATACGGTATAATTTTCTATTTAAGTTACATTATAGTCCAAAGGCTATGCATCAGGAAATGAGGATTTGTTTTAAGTTTTTCATGTGTACTAAAACTAAGTTGTTGTTTTTTAAACAAAAACATTTAACCACACCAGTTAACAAACATGGATACATGTGCTACAATGTTATTGCTTTAGTTAAATAAATTGCTTAAATTGTTATTAAGGAAATGATAATTTTTCTCCTTCCAATAAAGTACAGCAGAAAAGTTGTCCAAATATAAACAGTTTACTTATTAAACCTCACAATAATTTCATAATTATCTGCCTATGTATTTCTAATAGTATAACCAAATCAGTAATTTTTGATATAACTGTAAAAACTACTCTAAAAATTTATTATTCCAAAAATGAAACCTTCCTCTGGTTGTAAATATTAAGATTATACCAGCAAGAATGAGTCTTTCTGTATAAAATAATTAAAAATGATTTAAATCTATTTGATTTAAATCAAATCCACCCTGGTACGAATTATCCAAACATAATAAAGGAAAACCTTCAGTTTTCAACAATATCAAGGTAATGTTATCAGATAAGCTACTCCGGGGATTTGCATCCTAGTTTAAATTTCACCTGTGTATTCATGGGGAAAGTTCCCCTCTCTGCTAATTAAAGGTCTTAATCTCTAAAATGGAAATAATGGCCTATTTCACCAAGCTAAAAATAAGGATAACTAATGGCACGTTTAAGTACAGTCATACCTCGGGTTGAAGTAGCTTCAGGTTAAGCATTTTCGGGTTGCGCTCTGTGGCGACCCGGAAGTAGCAGAGCGCATTACTTCCGGGTTTCACCATCTGTGCATGCGCAGACACTCAAAATGACGTCACGTGCATGCTCGGAAGCGGCGAATTGCGACCCGCACACGCACAGGTTGCATTTGCTTCAGGATGCGAACAGGGCTCTGGAACGGATCCCGTTCGCATCCAGAGGTACCACTGTACAATGAAATTTTCTTAAAACAGAAGTTTATTTAAACAGATCAAACATAATTAGGCAGGGTTGTTTACTTAGAACCTATATGCATAGGTTTTATAATAGAAATGGACAGTGCTTAGGAAATTGTCCCCCCACCCTCGCTAAATATGAAACAGCATATAAACCAAGTCCACTTTATTTCACTTCACATACCTCTTCCTGTGGAATATTTTTATCATTTTCAGCCTCAATTCTCACTCTTACAACACCTGATTTATCCACGATCTCTTGAATGAGTTTTCCATTTTTTCCTATAACTTTTCCTATTATAAAACATACACAACATGGAGAATTTAGGGTTTTGCTCAGAGAAACAGAAATATTAGCACAAAAGATCTTTCAGCAACTATCTGAAAGTTTCAACCATGTGTTGCTACAGTAAGTTTGCATACCAACCACTCCCTTCCATGGGGCTTGTAAGTGAATTTGGTTGAGTGCACATAGAAGCTTCCCTGTGAGACTGAGAACCATGCAAACACACATGCTCCATCTTCATTGATTATCGTATTTACGCTTTTCTACTAGCCTATGGCTTAAAAAATTGGACTAACTCAACAAAAAAACCACACACATTATCACAAAACAGCAATGTACATTCATCTTAATCCAAATCAGGTGCTCCAGATGTTATAGATCATGATTAGCATAATGAAAAATTTAAAAAAACATAATTTTAAAAACAATAACTTCAATCGCATATCCCCATTTTTAATCAGTTTATCTCCTGAAAATGCAAGTATGCTACCTGGTTACTGTAACTAGTCTTCATACAACCCTATAACTTGCAGTTCTTTGATCCTCATGCACTGCAGGATTATACCTATTTAAACGCAATAGGCAGATTTCTGTTTGACTCTAGACTTTTAAGAATATAAAAATAGGATAATTAAGACTACATCTCTCCATAACAGTTAGCAGAGGGTCTTGGATTTTTGGGTGTGTTTTATTAGATATAGTCATTATTGTAAACTGCTTTGTTATTTTTATGATATATTTTTATAAACAAAATAAACTTATAACATTTATAAACTAATTAATTATGAAACTGAAATCAAATTGAAATATGTTAACACTTATTTCAATTAAACAAAGTGGTTCTTCCAGCTTTTGGGGTGCAGAATGTTAAGTAAGCAAGTGCTGATTCAGTGGACAAAATAATGTCTCTCAATAAGGAAAAGTAAATATTATGCTGTTTAGTTAGCAAGTCAAGTATTCATAATTTGAGAACTGAAATGCTCAGATAGTGGAAAGGCACAAAAGAGGAGCAAAAAGTTATCCATATGGGCTTCCTAGATATTTGTAATATGCAGGATAGCATCTCCTGGCTCTAGTGCATGTGATCAATTGCTAGACCCTGGATCCAGTAAGAGACACAATTAATAGATAAAATATATCACTTGTTCTATTACTTAAAATGCCTATTCCAAAAGCCAGGTAAATGCCCTCAGTGTTAATACAGAAAAGAATCTGTTAACTCAAAGTTGTCTAATGCATGGTTTTGAGAAGTTATGTGTGTACTTTTTATGGTGTGTATTGTTAGGATGTTAAACCACAACACATGTATCACAACTGAAGCTTAAAGAATAGCATAGCCATGTTTCAAATAGTCTTCTGATCTTTCCAAGGAAAAGAGCACAGACTTAGCTTTTGAACCAACAGTGAACTTTTCATGAACTTTTTCTTTTTCTGAAAATGCCACAATTAATTGGTAGTTGATGTAATCATGAGCTCATATAGGTTCACATTCACTTGCTTTGATATCGACTAATTGGCTAGCTTTGATGTTATCCTTATCTGTGGGGTTTGGCTGCTGGGCTCTGGGAACGGAAATGGGAAGCTATCTGTGAGATTTGGGTATTTGCCACCTATGCCCTCATTCGGTCAGGTGCAGTGATGGGAAATCAGGCCAAAGTGGTGTATGTTGCTTTGTATCTAAAGGGTGTGAATGTTTGCTTGGGTATGAACACGCCATCTCCTTGCTGCGGTTTCTGTAAAGTCTAGGAAACCTGACAAGCTCATAAGCATGCACTTTTCTTTAATAAAGCACTAGAACTTTGCCATTTTTGAAAACATTATGGCATTTTTGATATCCTTCTTTGGTATCCCAGCACTCAACTACTCCCTGCTTTGGGCCATAGGTTCCGAACAGCTTCAAAATCATAGTTCAAATCAACATACCTACTAAGTTTCTGGGGACTTGGATGACATCTTCAGCAAATTCAAGGTAACTTCTTGCCCTCTTTACTGCATCTTGATCCTATAGGAAATACAAATAAAATGGATGTTAAAGGGTTGCAGTGTCTTAGAATCAGAGCTGTGTTTGTGTGTAAGTGAGAGTGAGAGAGAAAGAGAAACAGATGCAACTCACCTCCCCATAAATATGGAATGTACAAGTGTCTTCATCAAGATCTATAGCTGTCACACCTGGTACTTTCCTGGCTTGTTGAATATTAGCACCATGAGTGCCAATGGCCAGACCCATTAGATCTTCACGTACAATGAATTGTTCATGAAATCGTGAAGCAAGCTGCCTTGAACTCTGTGGAAAGATACATTCTTGGTGAGAAATGAAACTTTAGGTAAAGGGACCCCTGACCATTAGGTCCAGTCGTGACTGACTCTGGGGTTGCGGCGCTCATCTCGCTTTATTGGCCAAGGGAGCTGGCGTACAGCTTCCAGGTCATGTGGCCAGCATGACTAAGCCACTTCTGGCGAACCAGAGCAGCGCACAGAAATGCTGTTTACCTTCCCGCTGGAGTGGTACCTATTTATCTACTTGCACTTTGATGTGCTTTTGAACTGCTAGGTTGGCAGGCGCAGGGACCAAGCAACGGGAGCTCACCCCGTCGCGGGGATTCGAACCGCCGACCTTCTGATCGGCAAGTCCTAGGCTCTGTGGTTTAACCCACAGCGCCACCTGCATCCTTGATCTCTGTGGAAAGATGCATTCTTGGTTAGAGATAAAAATAAAATAAATAAAATAAAATAAAAACAGATACAGTACCTCTAATTGTTTGCTTGCTTCTTCGTTTCTCATAATCAATGATAACTTGGTGCGCAGACTTCGAAAGTGCATATCAATGAGCATATTTGCACGTTTTGTTGTTACCTCATCAATAGACTAAAGAATGTGGGGACAGGAGGAAAAGAGATCTTTGATCAGTATCACATTCAATGTAAAACAGTTTGAATACATCAAAAGCAGAAACACATACCAAAATTATAAGCTGATGGGCTTCAGAATCATATGTGACTGAGAATGCCCCAACTGCCTTCTTGAAGTCCTTGTGTGCGGATTCCTTAGCACACCTAAAACACAAAGTACTTAAAAAATTCATAATGTTCATTTAATGGAACCATCTTATCGTAAAGCAATCACAGGATTGCATGAAGAACAGTATAACCTAGTATGCTCTGCACCATAGCGTGAGGTAAGAGAAGAGCTGCCCAAGAGCTCCACTGTGTTTCTCAGCTGACCTGCCCTTATCACAAGTAACAATGAAATGCCACAGTCTAGCAAAAAGACCTGAGTCATGTATGATATTTAAGTGACTAAAAGTGAAATAATTCACAAGCCTCCAACGGTAGTTAAATTTATACTTACGTATTTTCATTTGGTTTCAACTAGTTAGGTTATCTGCCCCATACTTGTACAGGCAATTAAATAGTGACAGGTGAGATGTGGCATCCTAATCGTTCATATTCATGAATACATTGCAATAAATACAATATTTTAATTAAATGTTATGTTGCTGTACACAATGCCTTTCAGGGCTTTCAGAACTATCTAAACTGCAATGCATTTGTAAACATCTTTGTAAAAGGCATGCATTTGTTGTTACTGGAGTAGAACAAAAACTATAATGAGATGGTATTACAAACTTTAAAAAATGGATTAAAACTCTTTATAAAAGATCTTTATACTCACATTTGCCTTAAATCTTCTGGTACATCAAGTCTGATTTTATGAAACGTATCCTTTGTTGCAGGTTTGTTGGGATTCACAGATCGTAGGCGCTCAATTGTGACAATTTCATTGTAGGTAGCATCACAGGCTGCATATTCTATTACATAAAACTAATTCAAAAGAACAAAATTGTCTAAGAGAATGTTTAACTGAGAAGTGATGTGTGCTACAACTGTACTTCGAAGGGGTCTCACTTACTTCTGGGAGAAACTACATTTTTTTGCTTTAACATATATTTAAGGTAAAAGGTAAAGGACCCCTGGACGGTTAAGTCCAGTCAAATTTGACTCATCTCCACTTTCAGGCTGAGAGTCTGCGTTTTTCCACAGACAGCTTTCCTGGGTCATGTGGCCAGCATGACTAAACTGCTTCTGGGCAATACAACACTGTGATGAGTGCCAGAGCGCACAGAAACACCATTTACCTTCCTGCCGCAGTGGTACCCATTTATCTACTCACAATGGTATGCTTTCAAACTGCAAGGTTGGCAGGAGCTGGGAAAAAGCAATGGGAGCTCACTCTGTCACACAGATTTGAATTGCCAACCTTATGATCAGCAAGTCCAAGAGGCTTGGTGGTTTAGACCACAGCGCCGTCTGCATCCCTTTGACACATATTTAAACTAGGGTTCTAGGAGGAAATTTCCAATAAATTGGAAGTACTTGAAAAGAGACCCACAAGAACTTGAAATCCAAAAACTACACTTAACATGTCAATGCCAGAATATTAAAATATATATATTCCTACCTCACCCTTTATCATTCTCACTTTAGCCAGCCACCAGCAACATGGTTCCTTTTCATTAGCCCTGGAATAAACCTAAACAAAATCATAGTGTAGAATATCATATTATGCAGTAGACACAGTCGCAGAATATGACTCCTAAACTCAGGGTCATGGGTTCAAGTCTCACATTGAGCAAATGATTCCTGCATTGCAGTGGTTGAACTAGATGACCCTCTTGGACCCTTCCAACTGTACAATTCTATGATCTAATGGAAAAACAGTACACCACACTAATAATGCTCCCCACCATACTGGAAATTAGGAGTTGAAAAGAGATTATTATTCATATCCCCCTAACGTACCACTGAGTTGCAGCACCATAACCATTCCGATGTATTAAATGTACATGGTCTAGCCATATTCAAAGCCATCCTGCACCTCATCTGGGCGTGATCTGGAAGCTAGTTTTTTCAAGGCGAGTGTGGTGGGGAAAGAATCTGTAATGGATATTTTCTACTCTCTTTCAATAGCAAGTTTTCTATTTCTAAAAAATACAGTGTTTCAAAAAAAACAAAGTGAATGCATTAAGAGTCAGTTTGGGCAGTTTCACAGTTATACTCTGGTTCTTCATACGTGTTCAATGAATGCATGGAAGTGGAACTGGATTGTAGCATAAGGCTTTGCCTCAGCCAGTGTGAGAAAGTTGAGAATGGCTCTGAGCAGGTTCTGTACAACTATATGCATATACAGTTTGTACCAGACAATCCAGTTGTGCATGGTGTAAACTGTGGGACAGTACCAGTGGGCACAATCTTACCCTCAGCAAATTCATTAAACATATGGGGGAAATATGTAATTGCTGAAAGTCTGTAACCAAGTACCCAGAAGTAAGCCTGTTGTTACTCAGCTGGACTAACTCCTAAGGAGACATGTAGAGGATTGTGCAGTTAGGAATTTCCAAGTAAAGCTTTTAAACAAACACTGCAGTTCAAATGATTTTGGGTTATTGGAAAAGGTCTGAAATACTTGTAGATCAAGTAAAACAGTGCATGCTTTTAGTTTAATAAAAAAACCAGGCAAATAAGCACGCTATGTTAGAACTATATCAATTGGGGTCAATGAAAAGTTTTCAATCCTCAAAATTTTCTGGAAAACCCACAGCATTGCTTCAAATCCTATGCATGCAAACTGCTCGACGATTAGAGCCAAGGGCTAGAGACTGAGTAACAGGTTGCTGGATGTTCCAAGCTGAGATGCAAAAGAATCTCTGTTGGACATTAACTAATTGCCCAACATAGGGTTTGTGCTGAAGTGCAAATCAGCAGCAGCCTGGCATCAGGATGGGTTAAGACAGATCTCTATGAGAAGCTCTTGATGCATGTAGGATTGAGGCTACAATTAAGGAGAGACATGCAACAGTAAATTATCTCTGATGGGTATAGAAAAGATGGTTTATAGTCCTGTTTCCATTGAATTAGTGAAGTTGTGGAAAATAATGAGATTTATTCTGTTAGTATTTCTTTTTCTACTTACAGTCTTATTTCTAGATTACCTCAAACTGGCAAGCTATCTTTCTAAAAAAAAGCGATTTAAAAATTAAACCCAGAATGATGAAAGTATGGCGCTTTGGGGTTCTTTTGAAGACTTGGCTAGCAGAATTGCATTTTTTGCTAAAAATGATCTCCTCGACACTTCTGGAGTCTGAATGTAATATTACTCATCCTGCTTACACCATCAGCTTTCAACTAGTAATAATGTAAGATTCTCAATGTGAAAATCTAAGTGTAAACAGAAAAATGTTCTATTTTGACTGCATGCACACCTGTACCTTTATGTCCACACACTGACATCTACTGTTTTCCTGGATTTCTTATGCCTGTACGATTTGTTTTGGTTTAGATCTTTTGTGTGATTGTTTCTTTCAAATGGATTTTTAATGGGTGTGAATTGCTTCTGATGCACACTGCTTGAAAAAGTAGCCTAAAGAAGTTTTGACACAGACTGCAATTATGTTCCTCTAAAAAACCTACAACTTTATCTATGTTTTCCCCTGACCTAAAAAATTCAATTAAAACAGTTATTACCTCAACTTCATCACTCTCATTTATATCTTTATTGTAACCCACAGGTGGAGGAAACCTGACATCATGGAAAGGAATCTGTCTCTCTGGCTGCCAACTGAAATACAAAATAAAAGCAAAGGCTATTAAATAGTAACTGAAGCAGGCGAAGCAGAAAGTACACAACATCAATAAAGAACAGTGGCCAGTGATTACTTACCTGGACCCTAACCCTGTGAGCTGGAATAATCTGAACAAATTCAAAATTATTAGGAGTTTGCAATGAACTGAATATATAAGCTAACTAACTTGGAAAGAGTGTTAAATGAGGGAAAGAGATGGATTTTTATCTTTGTAATTCTGAAATATTAAAAAATAGCCTTTTAAAAGTGTAACCAAAAGCTGTGTTACTCATTGCCCCAGATAAATTTCTTTTGATTTATTTGACAAAGTTTAAGGCAAACCGGCACAATGGAAGGCCTATGGACTAACTGTAACTTATTTCCTGACAGCTTGTATTCCCCCACCAAGAATGTAAAACACTAATTTTCTAATCTTTGTTTAATGCACTCAGTAATATCAAAAATAGAATAATGGTTGCATCATTCTGACTGCACAGCTTCTCCTTCATCTAAATTTTGAGTTTAGTGAAAATATCATGCTACGGATTGCTGAGAAAAAAAGTGAAGTACTGTAATAAGGTTGTTGAAAAGTCGTTACAGTGGTGGAACAAAAAAGCATGTCTGAAAAAAGTTTAAAGAAGGATCCTACATGGTGCAGATTGGCAGGCAAAGATATCAGGAAGTTTATTTCTCATCAGTCTCTGATAAGAGCTGAAAAAAACCTTTGAAACAGAGGCAGAGGAAGAACTTCTAGACACATGCTTTTCTATTTGCATTATGCCTAATGTTATAGAATGTTTTGAAGGCTCGTGCACAAATGTGTATATTGGAGGTGCACAACTCAATTATTGTTATTAATTTGAGTTGTGCACCTCCAATTTAAAATGCCCCAAACTGTATAAATGCTCTCTCCAATCCTCACTTTCATTGCATAGGAGTAATAGTCATAGCACAACAGCTTCTTGAACTAACTCCAAAGGAGGAGGAATCAGTCTTAGAACAGTATATTGACAGTTGAAGCACTATTTTAAGTCAACACAAAATCACAAACCCTAACAAAAGACATCAAAAGGGGAAAAAAGACAGGTTTCATAATATTTATATTTTCCATTATTAATCACAGTAACTTAACCCTTAGCCAAAAAAAAGTCCTGATTTAGGTGCTCATAAGACTTTCAGGTTTGCATTGTTACACAAAACGAAGTGTTAGACTGTTAAACAGTTAACCTCTCATTTTAAGAGATATTGCAGAGAAGCATTGCAGCATATCACCAAAAGTAATGTGAGTTGGCAGCAAAAGATGAGTGCCATGAGTGAAATGCATCACATGAACATTTCACTGATTTCAATAAAGCACACTTGGGTTAGGGTTTATCACTTTGTCATACAAGAGGTCAAGACAGAACATTTTCACAGGTCTCATTTGTAAGTCACAGTAAACCAGAATTAACGGTTTACCCTGACTGATTCTTTCTGGTATATTTGTCCCCTACATGCAAGTGCATGGAGAAAGGAAAACACAATCCCTGGCTTAACATTAAGGTCTGAACCATGGATTGTGACTTGTTTCCTACATAGCCTGGCAGGGAAGAGACAATCAGCCAAGAAAGTAATGTTCATGAAAAACCATAAACTATGGCTTCCTGAGTTCAGGTATGCAACTTCGTATCTTGGAGCAAGAAAGAAATGCAGAAGGTTAGCATTTGAAGGTAGCTTTCAAAGGAGTAACTGAACCTGCAATTGATATTATTTTCTTAAGATTAAGACTACTTAATCATAAAACTATCTAAGCAGTGCAAACAATAATATTTATACATGTAATTCGTTCACCAAAGACAACTGGATTAAACAACTGTTAAAACAAATTTTAGTGTTCAATAATGTTAAATACTGAAATGGATTCATCTTTATCAGACATGCTGTTTGTTTTAATTCATCTCCCTATATAAAACTTCTCAACAAATCTTCAGGTTATAAACTATTCTACAGCATTAGGGAAACGTCTCCCCCACATGGAAAAAATATCCCAGTGCCAACCTACATAGTCATCTCTATGCACAGAACTCTTCAGCTATGGGTATAAAGGGGAGGAGTTATTTAAGTGTACAGCAACTCATTTTTTCCCATGTGTTTAATGGTGGGGATATACTTGTGAGAAATAATAGCATGCATTTGCCCCCAACATTTGACCAAGTGCCTTCGAGTTCCAAAGAAAATGCCAGCAATGGCAGGCAACTGCTTCTGGAAGTACCGGTAGTTGCAAGCAGTGTTAGAAACTGAGATATAAAAGCTAGGAGCTAAATGGCACCTTAAACCTAGGTTATGGGTACAAGAATAGAATGTCTAGGAGTGCTTTTTAATAGCAAGAATACAAAGCTGGAAATGAATGAATTGCAGCTGAAATATTATGTTCATTTTTCACATGGTCTAGTCCTTCCTCTGCCCGCCCACTCCTAATATACTTAAGAAGGTTTCTTCTCCAGTCTTCAGAGAGTAGCTGGAAGTGAGGAGGCAGAAAAAGGTCCTCCTTTCCTTCCACTCTGCAGTTTTAATCGGAAATATTTGGCCCAGAGCTCAGAAACTGCTCATGCTAATGAAATTCCCTGTCGAACAATGCACCTAGAACAATGGGAGTTTCGAACACTGGTTGCAAGGCTGCAAGATAAATATCAAAATATTAACTTATTTAAGTTTATCCACTACCTCAATGCCACTACATTTCTAGATTATATAAAATTCATAAGTGCATCTCCTAAAACTATTCAAGTCAGTACCAGGACCATACGTACTTATTTTCAAATGCAACCGTTATTGAATCTTCATGCACATCCTTCACAAAAGCCTGCAAAAGAGAAGTGAGAATTTACAGGTATTACTATTAAGATATCATTTAAATACAAATTATTCTTAATGGTATAATATGGAAACTCTGAACCCTTATTCTAAATGCAACAAACTGGCACAATATAGCAGTTGGTTGGCTATGCTAAGAATTTATGCACGTTACATGCATGGAAGAGAAAAATGACAAATGCAAAAGGGTACCAAAATATATGTATGGCATGCATAATGTTATTACTAATATGTTACAGCAAAAAGTTTGTTTAAAGTTAGTATTTAAAGTTGCAGAATTACTATCCAGTCACCCCAGAACATCTTTACATCAAATGTTTAGAAAGTATGGTATCACACAGTGAATAAGTAGTTGTCACCATTTGAGCACTAGCATTGCAAGATTAGGCTCAGAGGGGACAAATGTAACTTCTGAATTTTAATCTGGAATCTTTTCACAAGTCCTCCGATTCAGAAAAAGCAACCCTCCACAGCGGTCCTGAAATAGAAAACTTTTAAGAACCACTGCATGCTTCCATAGTATTATAGGCAGAGGCTTTTATTTAGTTCTACTTAAGTAACTTGCTGATTGTAGCTGGATTCAAATTAATTTAACTGTACATACTGCAGCTGAAGAGCGGCGTTAATAAACCTGTACATTTAGAAAGTAAAAACACACCTATTTCAACGGAATGAAAGAAATAGTATCAGAAACCCCCACTAATAACTATCAATGGTCTTGTTTGGATACAACTATCTTGATACATTGAAATTAACTGTTTTGTTTGGAAATAACAAGTAGGTAACTTTTGCAGAAACCAATTCCGAAGTTCATTCTTGCTTCTTTTGCATCATTTAGATAGAAAATTCCACCTGAACTACTGGTTAGGTCTGGCCCGTTTGATCGGTTTTATAGTCTTAAACCATGTGGTCATTTAAGAGGCTAAGTATTAACTCTTTTGGTCAAAGTTGCTGCAAAAAGAACAGAAAGAAGAAACAATGCCCAAATAACTACTAGTGATAAGCATTAAGAGCTACCTTCTAGTGTTTATATAAAAAGTGAAAGTTAACAGTGATAAACTATTTTAAGCACAAATGTCTTCTAAGAATCTAGGCAGATCCTAGCTGCTCAAGTTAGGATTTTTAGTTCAATTTCTGTACCAACCGCAATGCCCTAGAGGACTAGGTATGCCCTAGGTATTGTTCTTAGGAAAACTAAGGTTCAGAAGTTGATACCACTGAATCCTTTGGAAATTACAGATACTTGAATTAAATCCACAATAAATGATACTTCATGTTCCGAATGTTGCCATTAAGCCAATTTCTCCACTATCAAATGGAATATGTCTAATACTCTAATATGCTAGCAGATGAATCACAATAATCGTGATTTTGATTTCAACAGGGCTGAAACAGGGCAGAGGATGCCTGAATAATTTGGTTGAGAATATTTTGTGAAAGGAAAAATAAAAAGAACCTTCAGCCAACTGATACAAATGTATTAACAGTTTGAAGTTAACTATTAATTTGTTGCAGAAGCCAACCTAAGACTAATGCAAGTTTGAACCACATGTGCAAGAAATAGTCAAAATATACACAAAAGCTTAAACCAAGAACAAACTTAGTTGGTTTCTAAGGTGCTACTGGACAATTTTTTTATAAATTTCAACTGTGTCAGACCAACACGGTTACCTACCTGAAGCAAGTAATAGTGTTAGTTAACACTATGCAAAAAGGCGCTCATGAGGATTCAATTTTAAAGAACTTTTACCAATTTTGGGTGCACTTGGAGCAACAAAGACTGGGCATCTCACCATGCACGGTCACACTCTTTCAACTTCACCTACTAGAATCCCCTCATCCAAGTTAAATGTCTCCTGCAACTCTTCCTCAAAACCTACACTTTCCCCCACTCGTTTCTATATTTAACCAGGTCCCCAAATACACCTTTAAGGCTTCTGGGATGCATGCCTCAATCATCCAGGGAAAGAAACCAAGGCATCACTAGCCTCCTACCCTCTCAACTCCTTAACCCCCTTCATCAAAACTAGGTATCCCCAACTCAGCTGGGTTAACTACTGCCCAACTCAGACACCTACTCTTTACCAAAATGACCCCATGAGAATACGCATATAATATACACACACCCAAAATGAACTGCATATGCCAGCAATATTAGCCATTTGGAAGCAGGTGGGATGTTTTTCATGCATTTCTTTTTTCCATATTAGTTATCCTACCTATGTCAGGCAGGTGGGTGTGTCGTCTGTCTGTCTGCAGTTTTGGGTTGCCGTGCGCTGAATAAAGCAACTAAAAAGTACAATTGACGACGACAAAAACCACGGACAAAGTGCGCGCGCACACCCTCCCCGCCGCCTGCGGGGCAGTAAAAGATTCCGGTTGCTGGAAGCCCCAAGAAGGGAGCCCCGTTCTCTTGCTCGGGGTCTTTGGCGCTTCCCATTTGGGGCGCCTCTGCCCGGCTCGCGGCAGGACCGAGCTGCGGGAGAAGGAGCGGCTGGGGCCGATGCACTTTTTTAAAATCACGCTTTAAATTCGTACGCCCACCTTCCCTTTGCAGACCGCGGGGCGGCAGCGCAAAAAGGCGGTGTACAAACTTAAGAAATAGTAATGCAAGATGGAAACACAAAACGCGTAATAATAATAATAATAATTAAAACACAGACACAAAGCAAACCATTAACTCCCCCCCCCCCCAAGGCAACAGGACACCAGTAAGCCCAAGACCTGAGGGAAGAGGAACGCGCAAGGTGGACCCGCCCAACTCACCGTAACCAACTCGTACCCCCGCCGCCAAACTGAGAGGGGCCAGGGCTCCCCCCCCAAAAAATAAACCCGCGGCCCTTCAGCCACAGGGGGCTGTTGCCCATCGCCAAAGGGCGACGGTGGGGCGAGGGCGCAGGTGGCGAGGTCGCCGGAGGTCCCTACCTGCAACCCCGGAGCCCCTTTCGCGAGTCGGGCGCCTGCCCCCCACCCCATAAAGCCTCTGCTTCCCCGCCAGGCCGCCCCTCCGCCGCCCGTTACCTTGTAGAAGGCCCCGTTGGAGCCGCGCACCTCCACCACCAGCTCCTCCATGTCTGCTGCCGGGCAGGAGGCTGGGCTGGCGGCGCTGGAAGGCCCTCCTCGGCTGAGGCAGCCGGCGGCGCCGCGGCCGCCCGCTCCTCCTTTCTTGTGGCCTCCGGGCTCCGTGTCCCTGGCGGGCGCGTGGAGCAAGAGGCGGCGGCGGCTTAGGCCGGCGAGCGGCTGCTGCTGCTGCTGCTCCTCCTTCGCCTCCTGCTCGACGCGGCTCGCCACCACCACCGTCGCCGCCGCCGCCGCCGTTGTCGTGGTGCTGGGGGCTGGGGCTGCCGAGAGTCGCCGCCGCAGCCGCCGCTGCCCGGAAATGAAAGCGAAACGGTCGCTGAGGGGAGGACGCCTCTGAGGAGACTGAAGCCGGAGCTGCTGCTGAGGCGACTGAGGAGAATGAGGCGGGGAGCGGGGGAGGGGCGCCGCCGCGGGCCGCCCGCTTCGAATGTAAACATTAAAAACCTGGCGCCGTCACGTGACGCGGCGGGGCCCCAAGTAGGCGGCGGCGGGAGAGGCAGCAGTAGTTAGTGCGTGCGGCGGAGGCGGAGGGGGGGGTAGGGGGCGGCGGCAGCAGCAGGGGAGAGGGGTTTAAAAGGCCTCGCGACTGCGCCTGCGCGGAGGCAGAGCTCGCGCTCGCGAGTACGGGGCTAACCTCGCGCGCCCTCTCGCGAGAGCTCCTCCGAACGCCGAGAGGCTGAGCTCCCTTACGCGCCGGCCAACGGCAGCGGGGCGGGTGGGCGGATGGAGCGCGATCTCGCGCAACAAAGCGAGAAGAACATGGCGGGTCAAGAGAGGCTGACCAAGCGGGGGCGCGCGCGCGCGCGCGTGTCGTGAGCGCGGAACGGCTGCTTAGCGACGCCGACGCCTCCTCCGCCAATCCCGCCTTTTCATAATATACTCTATAAAGAGTGACGGCAGCGCCGCCCAATGAAATGTTAGGGAGAGAAAGCTGCCCCCTCAAATCGTGGAAGTCGGCGCAGAACGGGAGGGCGCTCCTAGGTTTCAAAAAGCGCGTGGGACCGTTAATGGCGGGCTGAGGGAGGAAATGTGAGGCGAGGGTTTTTGTTGTTGGACTCTTTCTTTTAACAATAGGATAATAGAAGGAAGGGAATGCATTTTGTTTTCAGAGGAAGAAAAGTACCAGAATATATAATTGAAATAAACACGCAGTCAAAACCATATATGAGGCTTTGGTTTTTCTATTGGTGTGTGTGTTTTTCCAAAGTGTGACATTCACAAATACACAAAAAGAGCCTGTATCCCATCTAGTCCCCCATCCTGTCCCCACAGAGACCTTCCAGTCATGCTTGTGGAGAGCCCACAAAGCAGGACCCAGGCGCAAGAGCCCTGGCTTCACACGTGGCTTCCAGCACCGGTTGTCATTGTGGCTAGTAGCCGTTGGCAGTCTTGTGCCAATGTTAACCCTCCGTGAATTTGACAGATCCTCTTTGAAAGCCATCCTAGTTGGTGGCCATCACCGCCACAGGTTAACTGTGTGCTGTGGGAAGAAGGACTTCCATTGGGCCTCTCCTGAGTCTTCCAATGTGTCATTGATCAGCCATGATCAGAGAGGGGAGTTAATAAATGAACCTCTCAGTGTTACGTATTTCTATGCTAACAAAAGAATGTATCTTTTTACTTGTATCTTGCACATCTGTATAGATGTATCGCTGCAATGCCATTAAAGAATGTAGCTGAGGAATGCAACTGTTGACTTATAAAACGTATCACCTTTTTGTTTCTTTCTAAAAAATTGTTTTCTTACACCAGATGTAACTAGAACGGCAAAATGTAACTGGGAGAATGTAGCCAAAATATTTTATATTTTGTCTGACTTTCCATTGCAGTATACTTGGTCTGTCAATTTTCTGCTGTTCACAAACTGTCAAAATACCTTCAAGGACCACAGCGCCACCTACTGGGTCTACAAATGACATCGTGAATACACACAAAATGCAACATAAAATCAGTTTAATTAATAAAAGTATGCAGAGCGGAACTTCACACCAGCACTGATAATCATGCAGAAACAGGACTTCACACCAACACTGATAACTGTTTCCCAAATATCCAGCCATTTAATCTGCATAGGCGACGGGAGAGGCAGCAGTAGTTAGTGCGTGCGGCGGATCACCCCAAAACTCTGGATTTCCTTCTTGAAAATGAAGCAAAAACAGAACTCTTAGTCAAGATCCGCTGAAGAGGAAAAACCACTCCAACACCTTTTGTTCCCAACCTCAAAGTGGACAACATCTCCATTAACACCACCCCAGATCTTACAACATCCCACTTACCTTATGTTAATCCTCTTTTTGCGCCATTTATGTCATTTTCTGTATCATTGATCTGTATGGAAATGAAAAGGTATTTAAGTAAAGGCAGTTTCTTTGTTCAGGGTTCTCACTCCGTCCTTCTGTTATGTGAGCGGGAACCCTGTTGCAACAGTCTTCTGTTCTTTGAAAATAAAGATCAGACTTTGCTTTTACACCAATCCTGGTGTGGTCTCTTTCATTTCCCGACTGGTATGGAGCCTCCACAACTGTGCTCCTTCCGAGGGTCCGGTCCTCACGAGGCTAGGATCCCCTTGGGGAAGCAATAATATTTATTTCATTTTTGGCAAGCCAGCCAGGAGAATCGGTTTTACCAGGATTTTGGGGTGTCGAGGACTAAGAGCCCAAGCGCACACAGCCTCTTGCAAGGGGGGCTTATTTCCCCAGCAGACCTTGAATCCCGTCTCTAACTGGGATCCTCAGCGGGACCAACCAGGAAAAAGCAATGGTGATCTAGCCAGCTGTTTTTTGGAGGGGTTTCTTTCTGGTTTTTCTCTCCTCAGCATTCCTGTCTTCAAAATCGGAAGCTCTCTGAGGGAAGAGGGACAGTGCACTTGTGAAGTGAGTATAAGTAGGAAACACAGGCAGTGGGGTGCATTCTCTAAACCACAGCAACCAAAATTCTTTAACTCTTCCTTTCCTTCAAAATCTAAACTTTCTCCCTCCCTTTTCCATCACCTAATTTTCATCACAGACCTGAATCCATCGGAGTTGCCCAGAGGAGGGTCTTGTGTGTCTCTTCCCCTTTAATTCTATTTGCCGACCTAGTCTCTCAGAGGGCGTCCAGAAAAGGTCGTGCACTTACTTCTGAACCAAACTATAATTCCAAAACTATAACGCTCAGGCGCAGATGCACCTCTGCCATGGCGATCTTTGTTAGAGATGACCTATGAGCCAGAGGACGCAAGGGCATCTGATTCCTTTCCTTTCTGTTGTTCCTGAGTCCCGATCTGGCACTGCACTGTGCAAGTGTCCAGTAGGGAACTCTTGAGTTTAGATTGTAAGAGGCAGGAGGCTGCTGTGGGCTTCCTGGATGATTTAATGACCTGGGGGGGATTTGAGATCGCTGGCTGCACTGTTAGCTTAGTAGCCAGGAAGGCCAACAGCTGTACCAGCCTAGTAAGTCAAGGCCAGACAAACGGCGGTGTGTCACAGTACTGATCCTCGGAGTTGTCCACATTGAGTCTACTGTGGGTTATTTATTGTGTTTCCTGGAAAAGTGGGGATAAAACCCCAACTGCAGTATAAAAGTAAAAGCCAGCGCTATGTATGGTGAATTAACAAAACCTCTGGTACAAATGACAAATAAAGATGAACCAGAACACCTTAGATGGAATAAAGAGTGCCTCACAAACTTTGAGACCATAAAACGTGAACTGAGATCAGTGCCCGCTCTGGGACTCCCTGACTACCTCCTCTCCTTTTCCCTGTTTGTCCATGACCAGAGAGGGGTAGTTTCAGGTGTTCTAACCCAAACCTTCTAGGGATGGGAGAGACCAGTTTCTACTATAATAGTATCCAGCTAGACAGTGTTGCAAAAGGGACACTAGGCTGTCTGAGAGCAATAGCAGCAGCAGCCGAATTGGTGGAGAGAGCTCTAGAAATCGTACAGAACCAAAAGCTCATCCTAAATGTCCCTCATGCGGTAGCCACCTTGCTAAATTTACGCGGCTGCCAACAGTTCAGCAATGTTAGACTCAGCCAATACGAAGCTGCCCTGCTGCCCCCCTCAAATGTCCGTATCAAAAGGGTAAATACCCTCAATCCCACTACCCTTCTTCCACTTCCTGAAGACGGCAGCCCCCATCACTACTGTACCCAAGCCGTCAGATTGGCTGAAAAACCCTGGGAGGACTTAGACTACCATATTCACAGGTGGGAGTTCAAAAACCAATTTAGGAGTACGCAAAACAGGATATTCTGTAGTGACCCACAAGCATGTGTTGGAAGCAGCACCCATAAATCCCAGGTACAGTGCACAAGCAGCTGAATTAATTGCCCTAATAAGAGCATGTGAACTGAGTGAGGGGAAACACATTAATATATATACAGACTCCAAATACTGTTTTGTTTTGGTCCATGCCACTGGGATATTATGGAAACAAAGGGGATTTCTGACAGCCGCAGGAACCCAGATCTCTCATGCCCCTCTTGTGAAACGACTCTTGGATGCAATACACCACCCTAAAGCCATTTCCATGATTCATTGCAAGACTCACACTAATGGAACTGATTTTATTTCTGTCGGAAACCGCCTTGCCGACTCAGCGGCTCAACAAGCCGTAGTCTCCCTGCAGCCCAGAATGAATTTCAAGCTATCGTAGCCCCTTCAGACATGTATAACACTGCCCAGGCTGAAGAAATTAAAAAATGGCAGGACTTAGGGGGGTACAAAAATGGCCAGGTTAGGACCATTCCCGACAGCCGCCTCATAATGCCAAAGGCATGGGTTCCCAAGCATTTATGTGTTCTACACCAATGCACACATTGGGGGTCAAATAGGCTGGCTGATAGCCTTCTCAGACACTGGTATGCCCCAGGCGCTCACCAATATGCCAAGGCTGTTTCAAAGAACTGTACTATTTGCACCAGCTGCAACCCAAAAAGGGAACCCTGAAAACCCCCTGGCTCCAGACCATGGGCTTTCTTTCCCTTTGAGAGCCTACAGCTGGACTTTGCAGATCTGCCTAAATGTTTGGGTTACAAACATGTACTTGTCATCACAGATCAGCTGACTTTTTGGCCGGAGGCGTACCCTTATAAACATGCAACTGCACAAACTGTGGCACGCATCCTAATGCAATAAATTATCCCAAGGTATGGGGTGCCTGGGACGCGGGTGGCGCTGTGGATTAAACCACAGAGCCTAGGACTTGCCGATCAGAAGGTCGGCGGTTCGAATCCCCACGACGGGGTGAGCTCCTGTTGCTCGTTCCCTGCTCCTGCCAACCTAGCAGTTCGAAAGCACGTCAAAGTGCAAGTAGATAAATAGGTACCGCTCCGGCAGGAAGGTAAACGGCGTTTCCGTGCGCTGCTTTGGTTTGCCAGAAGCGGCTTAGTCATGCTGGCCACATGACCTGGAAACTGTACGCCGGCTCCCTTGGCCTATAGAGCGAGATGAGCGCACAACCCCAGAGTCTGTCACGACTGGACCTAATGGGTCCTTTACCTATGGGGTGCCTAGACACTTGGATAGCGATCATGATTCTCATTTTACTGCAGAAGTAATACAGGCTGTGGCTAGGGCATTCGGTATCAAATGGCAACTGCACACGCCATATCATTCCCCATCCTCAGGACAAACTGAATGTATGAATGGACTCATAAAAAATCAGTTGGGGAAAATGGGTGCAGCAACGGGACTCAAGTGTATTAATGCCCTTCCCCTTGTGCTACACAACATCAGGAGTCAGCCAAGGGGATCCTTGATACTTTCCCCTTATGAACTTTTGTTTGGGTGCCCATCCCCTACTCACACTACCCAACTCCCAATTTCTGAACTTGATGTGGGAGAGAATGAGCTAACTACTTATGTCACACAGCTGCAGAGGCATTTTAAAGAACTGCACCAGTATGCTGAGGCAGGTCAAAATGCTCCTCTGGATGTAGATGCCTATGCTTTTCAATTGGGTCCTTGTCAAGTCCTTCAGGAAGGACACCCTTGAACCGTCATGGGAGGGTCCCTTTCAGGTTCTTCTTACGATACCCACTGCAATTAAGGTGTCAGAAAGGAATGCGTGGATCCATTACATTTTCTGCAAGACGTCCAATCCTCCAACTTCCCTTGATACAAACCCTGACCCACCATCGGATACGACTGCAACCGACAATGAAAACCTCCCTAATGATGACAGCAGGGAGTAATCGTAGTCCCCTAGCAACTGGAGAGGGACCTGGGAAGAGTCCTGAAGAAAAGTGGCTCTCGAGGATACTTCTCGATCCTACCCAGAAAACCCCTACCACCCTCCCATCAGAATGCAGTTCCGGAAGGAGAAAAAACCCCACTCCGACTCAGGATAACCCCCCCTCTCTCCTCCTCTTGTCGCCCCTCCCTTTTGTGTCGTCTGTCTTTTTCTTTTTCAGGTAAATCGCTATGCATTCCTTGAGAGCTGCCTGCCTGGCATCCCTGCATCTAATCTCTATCCTAGTTCCAGTTGCCACCCGTAGTCCACCAGGGCTCCAGTGTGGGGACACTCCTATTGAACACTTCTACCTTGACTGGGATCTTGCTGACACCAAGGACCTCAACACCCTCGGAGATTTCCACTTCTGTCTGCCAGGTGCCAGGACTCTACTCCCCCATGCTTTCCAACCACAACTGAAGAACACCCAAGCCTGGGAACTAACTGTCAGAACCGCCTCTTATGCCATCTTATGCCCTGATCTGTCATAACGGAACTTACATCCAAACCCAATTGGGAAAAGTTATCAGACAATATGAACCATCCAAAATTGGAAAGGGACTCTGGGAAAGCTACACAGATTCCATGTACCATGAACACTGGACTTATGGATTTTATTGCAGTGACCTGACAACTACCTCCATTATTCAAGGTATCTGTGTCCGGAGATTCTGTTGTGTATGGGATTTGTGCACAAACCCTGACTGGGTGGGAAAGGCATACCTCGAGGGCTGGTTACATCCCGTGGGTGGAGGGAAGGTATTGCAGTGGGATCCAGAGGGGCTGCAGCAGTGTGGAGGTATAGCAAATTATTTAAAACTCCTCAAATCTCAGGATCCTCTCCACCCCATAGTAACAGCCCCGAGACATGTCAAATTCCCAGAGATAACCCCTCTGCCCCAGTCTCACAGACTATCAGCATGGCAAGGAAATGCATAAGTACAACTTCTACAGAAGGTTGTGCAAACCACCAACCTTTCCCAGTGCTGGATTTGTGCCCACACTCTGTCACATATTGAAGAAGAGGTGCCTTTCATAAGCACGCCCTTCACGTTAGATCAATACAGATCCACTTACCTTTTACAGCTCAATCTTACTTTCCTGAAACCCAGTGCCCAATACATCTACCTGAGTGGTCGGACTATTGGACCTGTGTGCAAGGAGTTCTTGGGAACTGGAGACCACATAGGATCCAGCACCTGTACTGTCACCATTCGCACCGACCCTGAGGGACTCAACCACACTGGTTCGCAACCACTTTCACACCCGCTCATTCCCTCACCTCCACCTTGACTGCAGTACTGACTCCCTTCACACAAGAGCCACCCTTGCCAGATCTCATAAACACCTTCCTCACAGGACACATAGAAAAACCCCTGGGAGGCTTGTTTGGAGGTTCTAGCAGGGGAGCGCAGCTATCGTATACCCTTGACCGAATCTATTTAAAGACAATTATGAGAAATGTTGGTCAGAAGTGAAAAAGGACCTAGAGATATGGTCAAACTTGAAGCTTTCCTTGTTAGGTCGGATTGCTGTTATAAAGATGAATGTATTGCCAAGAATGTTATTTTTGTTTCAGTCATTGCAAATCTTGGACAAAGTGGACTGTTTCAAGAAGTGGCAGAGAGACATTTCTAGATTTGTCTGGCAGGGCAAGAAGCCCAGAATAAAATTTAAAATATTAACTGATGCAAAGGATAGAGGTGGATTTGCCCTGCCAGACCTTAAACTTTATCATGAATCAGCAGCATTCTGCTGGTTGAAAGAATGGCTGCTTCTTGAGAACACTGACATTTTGGATTTAGAAGGTTTCAATAATGTTTTTGGGTGGCATGCATATTTGTGGTATGACAAGGTTAAAGCACATAAAGCATTTAAAAACCATATTGTTAGGAAAGCATTGTTAAATGTCTGGATAAGATATAAGGACTTACTTGAAAATAAAACCCCAAGGTGGTTGTCACCGATGGAAGCAAAGGCTCAGAAAAAGCTCAATATGGAGGCCAAATGGCCG